TCTTAATATGTGAAAAATGTTTGGATTCAATGCAAAAATCATAATATTATCTTTGAAAAGCTTATAAATTTGAATGCCCATTTGAAAAATAGAAACGACTGATTGCTCTCTTAAAAGATATTTTTAAATGTCTCTTGTAAAATTTCCAGCTCGATCACTTGTATCTTCTTCGAAACTTGAAAATTTGGAAGTTACATGTTTTTTTCTTCTAGCTTATCTCAATGACTATGCAACATCGTTGAAAATATGCTTTTTTTTTAATAGACACTCTCATGCTGCAAATCTACGTCAAATAGAATGATTCAAAATAATTCAAATTATGTTTTTAATATGATTCCTTCTGTAATGTAACCTATTCGTCTCTTTTTTGATAATCATGTTTTCGAAGGATATTTATAACTAAACATAAATGAGATGTCTAATGATCAACTATATTACCTAAAGAATTGTCATTGACTTCTCATGAGTTAATAATTATAACAATCAAAATGAAATCGCTCATCAATCAAAACATACGGTAACTGTCTCCTATTTAATATTCTCAACACTAAATTTACATAAATTATAATAGTTGACAGTAAACAAAATGCGTGTTATAGATGATATTTTGAGATCAAGTCATCTGATTTGTTTATAAATTTCACATAATATATAAAAACAAAATCGATCAACTTTTGTATTGCTTTTTGAATAGACAAGCCTATTAGACAAACGATTCAATCGTCTTAAATGACTAATATAGACGAAATCATATGCAATTTTGTCAAGTCATTTATGAACATTCACTAAAAAATAAAGTATGTCGATATTGCCTCATTTTTTCAAACTAATGAGGATTATCTCATCAAGTAAATCGATCAATAGAATATATGAATGGTCCACATTTGTAATCGTATGTCAATTTTTTCTTCATTTAGATATGTCAATAGTTACATATAAATACTGTCTCGTTCGATTTGTTTGCTAAGCGTCAACAAACACTGGCTGGTCGGAAATAGAAAAGCTTATGAAAAAGTACTCACAATTAATACGATAATTATCTTGTGACATAGGGTATTTCAATGTTTATGAAATGGGTTTATAGGCAAGAGGAAATCTGTTAACCTTATCAAGATACAATTATTCTTTTGCAAGATAAAATAATGAAATACAGAATTAGTTAAAATGAATTAATTTTCATTGTTAATCAGTTCTATTGGTCTTTCAAAGATTGATGCAGTGCATACGTATGTCGCTCGTACCCAATCATAGACTAGTATCAGTTCGATTGATGATAAGTACTATGCATCAATAAATCCTGAACTGTTCCGAAATGGCAATCGCCTATATCCATCTCCCATTCCGAATAAGTTATCTAAATTTATTATGATCATTTTAATGTCTCAATTGATATAACTAATAGATTTAGTTTAAGTTATAAAAGGACTATTTAAGTGATAACTGTCTTTCTTTTTGATATATCATATCTTGCAGGGATTCAGGTAAACAAAATGAACAATATAATAAAACAGGATCACCTTAGGAGAACGGCGTAATGATTAAGGTATCGGGTTCTCGAGTATTAACGTCATGTTTGAGCCTTCTCCTTTCACAACACTATATTTGCGTAATCTGATTTTGTTTTAAATCTAATTCATAATTGATAATATTTTAGCTCGTTGTTTTTTTGTGATTTATGTTTGTACTTGAATTTAATTATTTTTCTTCTTAAGTGACTGGTAATCAGCATTATGTTCTTTTAAGTTCTATCATTAATAGGATAGTTCAATAAGTCTTCTATAAGAAGAAAACAGAAGCATTTTTATTTTGTCGTTGCATGTTTTTTTTTTACATATTATTCTTCAACAAAATAAAAGAAAGCGTTCTCTTTAACAAAAATTGCTTTTAAAAATAACTATACTTTAGCGAGCAACAATGGTTGAAGCAATGATGCTTTTGAAAGCATTTTTCAGATGATAATTTCTTCCATTAATTCCCGACTACTAAATATAATATCAACGAATGAAAATGTACTTCTATATTTAAAAAAAAGAAATTCTTTAAAATTAAATCAACGAATAGATATTTCTACAATATGGATTTTATTGATAATTGATCAAAATCATAATTGCTAAATAGTCATTAATGATTGGGTTCGATTAGATAAAGATCTTTTATATGGATTAGAAATAACATGTGGTAATGATAATGTTGAGTGTATATCATTCAAATTATGTTGTCTATCAGTTATTCTCTGTCTTATATTTGTACTTTGACGAATATAAAAAACAATTAAAATTAAAGTCAAAACTATAATAGTAATATTTGGTGTTAGCACAACAAAATGTTCATGTGGCATCGGTATAATAACATGTTCAACTTGTTTCTCTGTTATCATAATTGACGAGTAATAATAGGCATTAATTATTTAAATATGAATATAATTAATATCGAGGTTATCAACAAATATTGTTCCAATGGAAGAAGCAATCATTTAAGAATAAAAGTAAAAACAACAATAAGAATGCAAACAAAAGGAAAAGCATTTACTAAATGAATATATATCAAGCAATTTCTTTCGTAATTAAGCTACATTGCAGTCAAATATGTTAATCAACAACACGCGCCTATTATAAGAATCCAATAATAATCAATATGTTTTCTCTTCATTACATCAAATAAATACAGCATCATATCTCAACAGCAATAATGCTTAGAAAGTTAATCTATGGCAAACTGAGTACAACTGTCAAATTTCCTATATATATTAGTTTACATTGATGCGATATTAATTTTGTTGTTTTTTGCTTCTATTATTCGTAATCTGTTTTCATTGCGTATATTTTAGATTATTTGTGACTAGGTCAGTGCAATATCAAATTTAGAAAAAGTATTTTAGAAACTAATAATTTATAAACAAGTATTTTCTTAGACTTTGTTTCTTGTTCAACTTCATCAATTTATGCTTTACATTTTTATAATTTAAATTTTATTTAGAGTGGTTCAGAGTAGAATAAAAATATCGTTCTGCATCATCAATTTCACATTGAGCAATGTTTCTTAAGGTATAAAATATAATGTTAATGTATTGCAGCATAAAATAATATTTAAAAAAAACTCTTTTTATTTGTCTTTTCTACTATTTAATAATTTTTTTTTATTTATATTTTCCCATAATGTTCTCTACATTATGTGTACTTATCCATCTTTCTGTTTTTTTTTCTTATAATTATGCTTCCTGTTTAGTCATTCTGTTGTCCTCTTAGAATAATTTCTGACTTTCTCTATAATTTACCTTTCCTTTTTTGCTTAAAAAAATGAAGGTATCTGCGTCATACTTCATGCTCCTATGTTCTTATAAACCGTAGTTAATCGACAAAATAACAAGCAATAGTTGAGAGGAAATAGATCGCAGAGAATTTCAAATTTCAATGTCTAAACTTAGTGACATAACATCATTATTTTATAACCAGTCCATTGCTGTAAGACTATTCTCAGTGTAACATAGACCCAAGACAACATTTATCTCGGTACTTTGTTATCTAATTTATGTGCCTCTCGAAATTTTTATTAACGTGCTTGTCAGCAATTTTTTTATAATTATTTCTACAGCAACATTAATAACACTTTTGATGGATTTCTTTCAGTAAGATAGACATAAAAGTTAAGTAAATAACATGCAAATTTTACGCTATTTTGATTTTCATTTCAGTCAAATATTATGAATATTTGGTATTAAATTCACATTCAATGAATTCGTATATTCAATTTTAGATTTATCTTTAGCTTTCTTAGTCATTTATTTAAGCCAGATCTTATAAGTGCATTGAGATTATTGGTTTTATAGTATACTTTGTCGCATTATCTTTCAACTGTTTTTTTCTTATGATGAACATTATGAATAGCAAAACAAAAGTATTAAATATCGTGACGAGTTATTGTATTATCAACGATCGAAACATAGATCATTAAAATCTTCTACTCCATGAATATTTTAATAGAATTGCCGCAAGCTTTTTTTCTTTGTAAGGTTCTTTAAGCGTCGTCTAATAGTTTGTTGCATATTTTGTGATAATAAAATATTCATATTATTTTCAAATATTTCAACGTGTTATAAAATCATTTTGATAAATCATAAAACCTGCGTATGTTATCAAATAATTTAATTAGATTTTATTCTCTGTGTCTAATGCTACACTCATCGATATGACTGACATTGAGTTTATATAGTGACATTAAGATGAGATGGAGAAAAAGTTGTAAGAAAAACCTTGAAATTTTGAAATAAAAAACTTAAAATACGACATTTTTCTTTACCTTATTAAGTTACTTTTTTTTTCTTGTTTCCATTTCTCTTTTATCATGCACAGATAATACTTGAAGATAACGAGGCAGAAATTTTTTATAAGAATAAAAGAAATGAATTAGAAACTCTTTGAACTAACATATATTTACATGTATAAATTTCATTAAAAAGAAATGAAATGACACGAAACGTAATTTTAATAGTTATATATTTTTAATAATTTTATTACATTTAATATAAGGTTGCAACAATTTTTATAGAGTTTATTTGTTTTTTTGACAAGATATAGTTATTAGAAGAAAAAATAAAATAGATTTATTCTTAAATAATAATATTTTTCTCATTAATGTATTGTCATAAATAGTTTTATCAGTTTAGTTAAAGTCTTAAAACATATTCAGATTCATCCTTGCCTTTTTATTTGCGCAGCTATCAAAGTATCAATTGAACTAAAAGCTGTATGTCACGCGCTACTAATAAAGAGGGTTAGTGCTTCAGTTCGTGTCGGTCTTCTTCTTTTTTTTTTCATCTCTCTCTCTCTCTTTTATATACAAGCAGTAAAGCATTTTGAGCTGTTTATTAATCAAATAGAAATCTAGAACATTCATTGTTTAGCGTTTATATAGAAAAAAAAACAGAGAGGAAATTCATTAGAACCATTCATATATTTATCTTGCGACGTGTTTTTTTTTTCTTAACTAGAAACAGATCAGCTATGGTCAACGTAACATTATCATTTCCTAGAATTACTGACAATAATTGGTGTATACCACTGACCGAATCAGTTTATTTATATGGATACTTAATACCAGCTATTGCATTATTTATATTTGGTCTTACATTTAATCCAATAGCACTGTATTATTTTGCTACATCGCTAAATTTTCGTCGTTCTGCTTATTCATATTATTTTTCAGCAATTGCGGTTGTTGATCTTTTACGTCTTGCTGTTTGGTGTTCATTCTTTTTACTTGATTTTAAAATATTTAAACTGAATTTTCATTCTTTTGAATGTCCGACACAAACATTTACAGAATCAGTGACAAGTTCAATTAGCGCTTGGCTTACTGTTTTATTAACAGTTGAACGCTGTTTAGTTATTTACAAACCATTACAAACAATAAATGATACACGAAGAAAACGTACTTTAATAGTCATTATTTGTGCTATTTTTGTATCGTGTGTTGCTAATTCTTTGGTTTTACAACCCGGATTTTATGTAAAAAGGTTAGAATTAATATAATTTTCTATTAAAAATATATTTTGTTGATAATTTTAAGATAAAGCTGCTTATAGCATTTCTTCAAATAGAAGAGATAGTAAAAATTTTTTGAGTCTATATCTATTTGTAAGTTTTTATAAATTGAATAAAAAACTATAACAAATTTTGAAATTATCGTTTTACAATCTTGAAAATTTATTTCAACAATCAATATTAATCTCGATTACACACAATATATATATATATATATCTTCTATTAATTTATTCATCTTATGAAAAATTCATTATTTATTCAAATTCTTTTGATATAATTGCTATTCATAAATAAGAAAAAAAAAACAATTGAAACAGTTCAATTAAACGATACTTCTAATGGTAAACAGTAATGCTAAGAAAAATAAAAATATATATATATATATAAGATGAAAAGTCATGATTATTTTGTCTAGAAATTGAGTTCAACAACTTTGAATTGGTTAAAAACTAGTTTGTGTACATAAATGTTTCAGTTTTCTACTAGTTTTATTGCATAAGACCAAAATTCCAATAGACATGGGAATTCAATTAAATAAAAACCTGTAATCTTTAATCATTCTAGTGTTGTTTTCTTTGTGTAAATACAAATCTTCAAGAAATTCTCTATATTAAGTTTGCCTGATCAAATTTAGGTAGTTTTTTAATATATGGTGCTAATAGAATAATTAAGTAAGTAATACCAATGATATGTAGATTCATCCTACGCACAAAATATGATAATGCTTTAGATTAAAAAAAATCTTCAATTACATAAAGCTTGTTAGATAATTATTCACTAATACTTAAGTGTTTCTTGACCATAAACATCTTAATTAAATCTATATACAAAAGAAAAAACAACTTTTTTTCATCTATTTAGAGTGTATAGAGAACTTAGTTATACAATAGTATGTCATTATGAACAATCTTCAACATCAAATCGAACCGATCATAAACAATATTCTTTATTTACTGCAAATACAAAACGTATATATTTATTAATAACAGTTATATTTCGTGTTGTCATTCCATTCGTATTACTTCTCACAGCGAATATAATACTATTTGTTAGTGTACGTAAAACACGACGACAATCATTAAAATTAACACCAATATCACTTACTCGTCATGGTCATCATAGACAAGTAACACCAATGATATTTTTTTCATCATGTATTCTTCTACTAACAGTTTCACCTCGGTAAATGAATGAATTTTTTTTTTATCCAATAATTTGTTTTATAAAATTCTATTTCTTAGGTATCTTCTTCAATTTTATTTAAATTTTTATCAAAAACCTCCCAATTGTTTTTTAACACATTTTGCTTCACATTTATTGAAAACTTTAGAATTATCTAATTATGCATTTAATGTATTTGTTTCCATAGTTAGTGGTAAACATGGTCGACATGAATTATTTAAAATGTTATTATGTCGATCAGTATCAACTCAAAAATCACGTATTAACAATGGTTCAAAACTAGTTCCAGTATCAACACCTCCATCATTAACATCATCTAAATCTCTATATCAACAAAGATTTAATTATAGAACTGACGAAATAAATAATCCAACAAAAAAACCATTACTATTAATTAGAAGTCATACCAGTCGAAAACATTATCCTATAAATAATCATTATCGTTATCAATAGAGTTAGACAGATAATGAAATGATCATATATGAACAAAATAAATAAATAAACCATAAATATATTTATATATATATATATATAAACGACAATCATTTTGTAATTAGTTTATTTTATTCCTCTTTTTTTTGTAAAGACAAGACACACAAACAAAACTATCTACCGATAATATCACACCAAACAGATGACATAGACAAAAGAAAGAAAAAGAAGAAATACAACACACACTAAAGATAAATATATATCTGATGCATCACTGTGTTTCCTATGATTTTTTATTATTATTGGTCTTCTTTTTATCTAATGCTGCTTGAAAAGCATTCATACGTGCACGATAAGTTTGTGCTTGTTGTTTTGTATCATGAAACTTTTTCTTTTGTTGAACTTCAGCTAATTGATCATATAAACGTTTAGAACGTTCTTTTGATTCACGTGTACGTCGTTGTCGTTCTTCCGAATCAGTTTCAATAATAATCTTTGATGAATTTGTTGATGCTGATGTTATTGTTTGCTTTTGTGAACTTGAACGAAATGGAACAGGAATAGATGAAGAATTTATTTTTGTGTAATCTTTAGCTTTGATTTCCTCGACACGTTTTTGACTTGTTGTAACAAATTCAGCACGACGTGTTTGTAAAGCTGATTGAAGAGAAGGTAATTGAACAATTTCTTTTAATTAAAAAGTCAAAAAGAAGATCATTTTTATAGAGTACAATATACTGTTACACTCACGAGCAGAAGTATCTTGTTTTTGTCCATCAATAAAAAACTCAAGACCACCTACGTGTTGCCGTGTCTGAGAACTACTCTTACTACTGCTACTTGATGATGATGACGATGATGATGATGATGATGATGATGATAAAAATGATGTCAATGTTGTTGGTTTTCTAACTTCTTTTGAAATTTCCCCACCAACTGTAACAAAATAAGACCAATCGGCAGTAGTTTTAGTTGTCGAAGGAGCAACAATAGTTTCAATATGATTTGGTGAAAGATTTTCAGTTGATTTAAGTTCATCATCAATATCATTATTTGTCATTAATGTTGCATTACTTGCACTTAATTCATGTCGTTCAAATGAAAGTAAAGATGTATCATCACTACTCGTTTGATTTTTTTGTTTTTCTAATGAATATTGTATTGATGACTTTGCTGATGATGATGTAATGAATGGTGAATGTTGACTAATAGGTAACATATTTACTTGTAATGGTGTTGATATATCATGTCTATTTGTTGTATTTATTATAATTAATGGTTCATTTTTAATTGGTGATAATGAAGGTGTTGAACAAGCACTTGTTTTATCATCATAATTTGATAGTGGAGATGAACATTGTTTTTTCTTTTGTGACGTTGATTGAACAATAATAGCCGTTGGAATTTGACCTGTAGTTGTTGTTAATGAACGATAACTATTCGAGAGAAGTGTTAATGAAGGTTCATCAAGAATACCACGATCATCTGAATCAATCTAAATAGAAGTTTTTATTATAAAAAGAAAAAGATTTGTTAGTGGAGTCGATTTCTGTGCTGAAATATGAAACTCATATGTGTTCTTTTACTTCATTATACTAATGCTAAATAAGACAAATGGAAAAACTCTAGTAGACTATAGTTGTTTTTCAAGAGAAATAATACGTCTTATTTATTTTTGAATTTCGAACAAGAATTTATCTATTTTTATTTTTTCATATTCATTTTTTCTTAATTTAATATTATTATCTTTAGTTCTAATCATTCATTTAACTGCTAATTAAGTCTATTGTACAATACGCATTATATTTAATGTCTTGCAAGAACGATATTCAAAATTGGGTATTTCTAGAGATGATTTTTGTTGTATGTATGGAGAGTGTATCATAAGTTTTGGGTCACAACAATTAGTTTATATGTAAACAAAAAGTAATCTCTATCTAACCATATGTATACAAGCTTCCAGTAATTAGGACAATGTTTTAAATGTCATATTATTTGATAATATTATATCTTTTAATACTAGTAATATAAACTATAGCAACGTAATAATTAAAATTTTAATATCGACCAATATTTTTTAAAGAAGCTTTAATAACCTATGAATTCATCGTATGTAACGTAACAAAATTAAAAACAAAACGATGCGTAATATCTTGTATGTTTGTCTATTCTCTATACTCATTTCCTTGTTATCACGTTTCTTCTGTTCATATTACTATTATAAAAAAATATAATATCATCGAATAATTTATCATTTAAAACATAATCCTAAGTACTCGAAGCTCATATAGATATAGTTAGGTAGAGACCACTATTTGCCTACGTATAAACTGATTGTTACTGAAGCTCAACACTTATGGATTACTCTTTATACTCTCCAAACTTTACACTTTCAAAGAAACAAAAGTCGAAGTTATACGATATTACATTGTTGATAAATAGATTTCGACATTCGTTCAAAGACTTTTGCATCGCTTATTAATTAAAAGAAAAATAACGAATACTTATTAACAAATGTTAGACCAATTTTGTTCATTATTTATTAAATTATATTTCACGGCTATAATTTTCTTTGTGATTATCACTTTTGAAAAGAGTATTATTCAGATAATCTCGCAATATAACATTATTATTATTATCTCTTCGTGAACGATTTTGTTTTTATTCATTGGTGTTGTTGACATAATAGTATTTTTTCTCTTTTCAATTGTTCAATTAATGAAAGGAATAATTTTCTTAACTTAACGTTGATAAATTTCGATATATAGATAATAATTGATTTATTTTACTAAAATGTATCTTCAATGATAATTTTATTTTCAGTTTAAGATAATCTCACATTCGGTAGAGTGCGATATTAATAGAAGCTAGTGTTTGATAGTGTTAGTTTTCCTGAAATGCAAAAAATGAGAATATAATAGGAATTTTGAAAGTATTACGGAAATAGAAAGGTGAAAATCAGAAAAAAAGAAATTTGATGGGAACAGGAAATAGAAATTGAGAAAAGTCGTTTCTGCGAAATACTAATTATATTTACAGCAGGCTCCAATGCACTATTATATGTCTTGGTAACCTCATAAACACTGACATTGATTATTTTCCACAGTTATGATTTGATGAGTTCACGCGTTTTACGTTGATCATATGACGATTGTGGCATATCAATGCATCATTACCCATCATTCTTGACATCTTAAACATTAATTTTTATCTGCGTATAAATCAACAACTGCATTGTTTAAAACATTCACAAACGTATTCCAATCATTCGAATTTCGAGAAAGACTTTGAAATATTCTAGGATAGTCGAAGTCTTGTCGTTAATGTTGGCCAGCGCCTTTTTTTTAAAGAAATTCTGGCAGAGGAGTCTGACGCCTGTTGTCTTCGGTTGCTAAGGTCTATAATGGGGAGCCACAAAACTTCTACTCAGTATTTTCTTCGAAAATGTACGTGAGTTCCCCGAAAACGTAAATAGTTTACAAAAGAATAATTGTCTTACTTTGCAATCATGTTTTGCTGGTTCAAATAAAGTTTGTTCTTCAGCATGTAAAATAGCTGATGGAAAATCAAGTGTTGATAATGAACCTGTTTCAATTAATGTACTTTTTTGTTGTATTTTTTCAGGCGACGCTATTGTTGTTGTTATTGTTGTTAATGGTCCAGTTTCATAATCAGCTGCATGCATTGATGCTGATGAATAAAATGTTGTTGATTCAACACCAGTTTGGTTTTCATTATGATTTGATATAAGTCTTTGCATGGCACGTTGATTTTGTTCAATTAAATATGATAATGTATCTTGATGTTTATTTGAATTTGATGATGAATTTGATGTTATTGACGTTTCAAATGTATTTGGTGAACGTGCTAATTGATGTATATCACTCGTAATACTATTTCGGCGTTCATTTCCATCTTGTGATAGATGATTAATCGGAATTTCTGATGATGCAAATGATGTATGTGATGGTGTTGATATAAGTGGACCACTAGCAAGTGCTTGTTTAGCAATTGATGAACGATATGTAACTGATGTTAAAGTTGATTGTGATTGATGATGTATTGGTGGTGTCGATGATGATGGTAATAATTGTTCAACAACTGTTATTGTTGATGATGGATGTTGTTGTTTAGTTAAATATTCATGAACTTTAATTAATGACATTAAATCACATTGTTCATTATCATATTGAGAACGAAGAATTTGTTCTTGTGTTGGTAAACCTTGTGATGATGAAACAAGATCATTACGATTATTTGACGATGATGATGGAAGAATTTCTATTTAAATTAAACAATATTTATCAAGAAGTATTAGTAAAAGATGATAACACCCAACTTTATCAACTGAAGGCTCACTTGCCACTTCACCAGGTAGATGTCTACTATCTCACTCTACAAATACCCGTTTATCCATTTTCTCAATGGGAATCGAAGAGGTCCGTTGTACACTAACACCGCCTAACATCTACTAACACCCACCAGCATACTGTTAGTGGGCTGTTAGTAGATATTAGGCGGTGTTAGTGTACAATGGACCTGCTTGATTCCCATTGAGAAAATGGATTAACTAGTGTTAGTGGGTGTTTGTAGAGTGAAATAGTAAACCTTTATCTTGTGAAGTAGTAGCCGGGTCCTCAGTTGAAAAAGTAGGGTGTTCACATTTTTTACTAATACTCTTTATCAAGTGACCTATGACGACTGACAGTTTTATGAAACCATTCTTTTTCGAAAACTCTACTAAGTGACTGTTTTTTCTCATATAAACTAACCTTCTCTCTCTGCAAGGGCACATCCAGGATCTTCTATTATGTTCAAGTGTACAAGGTTTCCACGAAAGTCTTCTATTGTGCCTATTTATTTCCATAATTGTTAATTAAAAGGGTTTGATAGAAAAGAAAAATGATCTTGAGAATTTAGGAAGATATTTTTGGAGATTTCAAAGTTGAAAAATAATGCTAACCTTAGTCTTTTAAGATTGTCTGTTCAAAAACCTAAAAACTAATCACATTTTGATGTCAATATACTGACTAAAATTTCAATTCTTTGAAAAACTAATTCATTAAAGGGATAAAGCTCTTTTATTATGTGTAGCACACCGTTTCTTCATAGAAGTCTTCTATTGTAGGAAGGAATTCATGTCGTCTGATAATAAAAATATAGAAATTCTATCAAGTAACCGCTCCAGTCACAGTTCTCGATTGATGGAAGGAGACATCCTCCCAAGTGTCGGACTTTCCGCTTAAACTCTTAATACTTTTTGTCAATTTTTTATAACTTCATGGTAATTTTGGAAAAAAATTGGATCACAGTGGATTTCGTTCTTCGTGCGAATACAAACTCGAAACCTTTTGAAAAATCCGTGGAGTAAAGAACCTTTTCAGATTTCGTAACAAAAACGTTTTTTTTTTAGAGTGTAGCATTTTGAGGATGAAAGGACTTTCTGCCAAATTTTTTGTTTGTGTTCCTAAAAACTATCGGTAAACGTGGTTTCAATTGTCAAAAACAGAGCAGATTCATAGAAGTGAGAGCTGTCACAAGTCTGTTTAACATTTAAATAATAGAAAAAAGAAAAGAAAAGAAAATATTAACCTTCAACATTTGATGAACCAAAACCTAATGAATGTGTTAATTGTGGTCCATCATTTTTATTAATATTAATTAATGGTACAGATGATTGTGGTAATTGTGGTAAACATTCATTAGCAAGTATATCACGCCACTTTTTTGATACACTTGATATGGATTGATCATCCGATTCTGTATTTGATCTTGGTGTTGTTATAACAACAGGTAAATTAGCACTCGTTGATGTATTTGTTGTTGTTGTTTCATTTGTTATTGTTCTTACACGTGGTTGTCGTGTTGTTAATAAACTTTGAATTCCACTACTTGAACTTTTTCCACCACCACCACCACCATTACAACCAGCAAGTGTTGTTCGAGATGTTGCCGATGAACGTGGACCATCAATAAGTGATATACCTGAATCATCTCGTTCTAAACCAGTATTAGATATTAATTGTTGCTGTTGTTGTTGTTGTTGTATAATAGGAATCAATTGTGTTTGTAATGGAGGAATATCATTATGTTCAGCTAATAATGATGATGATGATGATGATGAATCAACTGAGGATATTCTTTCTAATTGTTGAAGATCAAATGAAGATTTAAGTGGACTACGATGATGAAATAATGATGTATTTCTTGAACTAACAGGTGTATCAACTTCTTGTATTGTACTTAATTCATGTGCTTCATTTCTACCAACAATATTTAATTTTGTTCGAAGAATAGATGGTGGTGGAGGAGGTTGAGCTGATGATTGTTGTTTTATTGATGATATTCTAGAAGAAAAACGAAAATAGTAATAAATATAAAAGTTCTACTTAAGAATATTTACATTGTTTGTTGTCGATATTGTTCATGTTCATTAAGAAGATTTTCACGTTCACGACGAATTAATTCTAATTCTTGTTCAATTAAACGTTTTTCTTCATAAAAACGATTTTCATCATTTTTATTTGCAGTAAATTCTTGAGAGCTATCGATATTTCGATTTAATAAGAGTAATTGAGTTATTTCAGGTGATGCTGATCGTTGATCAACAGGTGTACTTATTGATAAGGATGATATTGATGACAAAGCATCATCAACAAGATCATCAATTATTAAAGGACTTGTTGTTTGAGCAGTTGGTGATTTTGTTTCAGGCATTAGTTGATCTAAATTATTTTAATAAAGATATCATAATGCTATATAAATGGAAAAAAATTCTTCGTTTTTTTTAGTGATCATTTGTATTTTGATCAATACTAAATTATAGAGATAAAGATGACAATTTATTCTTGTGCATTATGACTTTTCTTGGATTTTGAAAGCATTATTGTCAATATAATTTATTATCATTATATCAAGCACTGATAATGTTGTAAACGTAAGGAGGACCCCCTTTAAAAAAAAAGGTCAATTTTTGTCAGAATTGTCGAAATTAAGATGAATGCATGTGAAAATAGCCCGAAGTCTGATCTTTCATAAACGACATTAATTTTTATAGAAAAAATATAATATTTTCAGAACAACTAAGAAATATTTTTCATTCTTGTTTGCTTGAAGAACATGTCAAGATGCAAGGCATGACAGTTTTCCGAGGGTATATGATGAAATTTCGTTAGAAGATAAATATTTTATGTGTTAGATTAGATATTTACCTATGCTAGCAGATTCAACTGATGATGAAATCTTGTTAGAAGAAGCAGATAGTAATGAATTAAGAAAAGCTTAAATGCACACGGAACATCTTATTAAATTTTTGCATGAGTGAGAAAGATTCTTTTTGACACATATCTATTCTTTAAAAAAAAGTGCACAATGGCGTGCTTCTAGCTTAATAATTGATTATGATATGCTGGATTTACATATTATGGAAAATTTTCCTGATACATTATAATTTTATGCTTGTTAAGCTGAATTATGTATTTGAATATATTCTACTCAGACTTGTATTGATATGTACATAAGTACTTTTTGTGTGCCTTCTCTTTCTTTGTTACTGTTTTCGATTTTTCTATATGTACTTATAGGGCTTGAGAACCATTAGTGATTACAAAGAAAAAGAAATTAATTATTTAATCTAAGCAATTAGTAATATGAAATTGACTTTCGAGTTCAAACTTTGCACGAATAAAGTTTTTAATTATATTAGTTGATTGTGCAACTAGTATTTCATTTGTGGAGACCGGATATTTATTAACAAATTTTGTTTTTACACATGAGAGAATTTCGAATATTCAATATCTCAGAATAGATAATACTAGAAAAGTTTCATATGATCACAGATTTTTGTTGAAAAATTCAGTAATATTTCGATGTCTAAAGAACAAAAATCTAGAAAACTAAACCACTGTAGACTTTTCTTCTACTCATCAAAAAAACATCGTCTCGTTCGAAAATCGATTTGACAACTGGAGAAATTTTCTCGTCAGATTTATTTTGTTAAGTATTTTTTTGAAATAAATCTGATTGCTTTGATAAAATACTACTTACTTTGACATTGTTTATGATTTGATTGTTGTTGAGTAGCAACAAGACGTGAAATAAGATCTTCTAATGAATGATCTCGATCTTCTGATGAATGACTTTCATATTTATCAAATAAAAATTTTCCTTTATTCGTATCATCCGACATTGTTCCATGAGATCTTTCATCATCTTCAATAGCAATACCAGATGATGATGATTGTAATTGAGATTCATCTGAAGTAACAATAGCTTGAACAGCTTGAACAAATTGTTCATGATCATCTTCGTGTTGTTTTCCAGCATATATTGAAGATGTTGTTGATGGTATACTACTAGCTGTATTACTTGTTGTACGTAAATTTTTAAGTAAACTTTCAATAGAAAGATCTGATGATGATGAAGCTATAGGACACGTTGACTTTTGTGGAAGAAAATTTGCTCGTTCAGATAAAATTCGTATTTGTTTTTCAAGTACTTGTTTTCGAGATCTAAAAATAAATTCAAAATTCAAAACATAAAAATGAATCAAGAAAAAGAAAACAAACTCAAGTTTAGCTCGTCGTTCTTCAATATCAGCTGTTGTAGTATTTGATGATGATTGTTCTTCATGAATATCTTGTTGTGTTAATGATGAATCAATTGATGTACTACTTTCAACATAACCAGGACTAACAATAAGTCGTTTAGGTGTTTTAATTGTTGGTGTAACAAGTGATGTTTGTTGATTGACTCGATTTTGTGCAGCTTTTCTTTGTCGTTCAATTTTTTCCATTAAACGATGCATATTTTGTTGTTGCTGTTGTTTAACATATTGTTGTTCGGGTAATGGTGTTTGTAATGTCATTATAGTTGGATCAGCTAATGTTGCTTCTTCATCTTCATGAACTTCATCAGCTACTGGTAATGTATTTGCTGATGGAGTTATTGTTGTTAGACGATATTCAGGAGATGGATTTTCTTCATCATTTTCTGCAACAAGTGTTCGATCACTATTAGCATCTTCTTCTTCTTCATCATCTTCTGGAATTTCATCTTCATTCATAAGAACAATTGGAATTGGTTCTATAGGAAAAAAACAAAGAAATGAAACAAATTTGAATAATTTTTTCTTTTAAACTAACGTTTTCGATGTGTATCTTGATAAGCTTGTTCAAATGCTGTTTCCATTTGTCGTTGTCTTTCTTCACGTTCTTCTTCACGACGCCATGGTGGTATAAATATACTTTTCTAAAAAGATAAATTTTTATGTTTTTTTTTTTCTTGCTAAATATTTCCAATTTTATTTACTGGTAAATTTTGTATTTCTTTTTGACGACGTTCTCGATCTTGTCTTTCAAGTTTACCTAATTCATCGAGTACATTATCATAAGCCTATTTAGATAAAAATATTGATTTTTATTTTTGTTTCATTAATTAATAAAGAATAATTAATTTACATTATCGAGAACTTCACGTTTAAGTGCATTATCGCCACGAACTCGAGCTTTTTCTTGTTGTTCATTCCATAAACGTTGTTTATCCGAAACATATGTATCAATACGTTCTTGTTCGATAATAGCATCTTGTGCTGCATCACCCTTAAAAATTTTAAAATAAAAAAAAAATATTTTATTCAAATTTAAGATGTTTTTTGTTTAACTTGTTGATCATCTTCTTTTGTTACAAGACGTTCTTCAAGATGATATCGTGTTGTTGTAAAATTATATGGATCATGAACCGTAACAATTGTAGCTAAATATATAAAATTCATGATAGACTTGTGATATTAATTTTTCACAATCATGAACAATATGAAACAAGAGACATCGGTTCATGTTAAATTGATCAATTGGAGAACATATTTACGAGTACAAAAATTCAAGATAAAAAAAAAATCGAAATTTAATCTTAGCCGATAATGATCGATTTGGAAATGTCATTAGATATAGATTTGACATTTCAATCGATAGTCTTTTGACAGATCAAGTTCTAAAATGTAACACTGGGATTGATATTTAGGTGTGTAACTGATGAATAAGTATCACCCCTTTCGTGACCGAACATTTTTGTTTTTCTTTATGTCCATTGCATAGTTCGAAGTAGTATCTATCTACTGAGTACAAAATTTGTCTTTAAACGTTAAAAGAAAACAAATGTACATAATGGAAATAGTGTATCTAGTTTTTTTTGAAGTCAACTTTTCATGAAAAAATAGTGCAGAAACACCTCTGTTGCATCGGTCTAGTATGTACTACCGAGTTGAAACTTTTTTCACATAGATTATATATACTCTTTGGTATTAGTATATTTTCTTTTTTGTTTCAAAAAATAAAAAGATACTCATCCTAAACAGTATCTAGTACTCGTAACAAAAACTTTCAGCTCGATCCAAAACATAGTACATCGTAAAGAAAATTATGACCATTTGTCGTCGTTGTGATCTCAGCATCGCATTGAATATAGCATCCGGGATAGACGTTGGCGAGACCGACATTTATTGAAATTCAAATCAAATCGAAATCATCCTTCTCAATTTACGAATACAACAACTATAACACCAGCGATGTGCAGCAATCAATTAGGAATGAAAAGAAATCACAAGAATCTTTTAGACTGTGATAAATATAGTATTATTGACAAACAAGAAACTTGTCAAAATCTATCTATGTTGAAAAGTTCAAGTTTTTATAATGAGACGTTCTCCAGAAATCTCAAATAGGGGGAAGGAAGCTACTTTTAAAAAATAAAAGTTACTAATATATTTAATATATACTTTGGTACAAATTATAGCCAGAAAACGAATGTAATATTTATTATGAATATTTGAAAAGAATATAAAATTCAGCACTTACTTGGTTTCATTTGAAGATCACGTAATGGATCTTCAGGTGCGGGTAATTTAGCAATCTGTTGTGCTCGTACTTTTTCTAATTCAAGTGCTGCTTTTCTATATAGGATAATAATATCGAAAGTTCTATTAATTTTAATCGAATCTAAACAAACCGATGAAGAATATGAATATTTCGTTCATTTTCATTTTGCATCATATCAACATGAAGTTTATCAAGTGCTTCTTGACCACGTTCTATAGCTCGAGCATCATTATCTAATGTTTTTGTTAACCATTCATGTTCATAATCAGGCTAATTAAATATAAATAATGAATAAAATTAATAAAAATAAAGAAATAAATCAAATTAATTACTTGATCAGCTGCTTCTTTGTGACCTTTTCCCATTTCCATAAGATTTTCACGAAATTGATATTCAAGATTATCATGTAAATCAACTTTTTCTTGTACCCATTCATTCTATTATGAAAATGAATTTTTAAAAGAAAAACATTAAAAATAAAATTTTTACTTTCAATTGATTAATTAATAGATATGTTCGTTTTTTCTTTTCATCCGCAACTGTTTGACGAAGTTGAGCAGCACGTTGTTTTTCAATTTGACGTGTCTAAAAATAACAATACAAGAAATAAAATACATAATTGAAATATTTCAACTAACTTGAAGAAGACGAAGTGTTCGTCGACGTTCTGCTTCATTTTGTATTAATTTTTCTTGTTGACTTGTTGAAATTAATAAACTTTTCATATTCAATAAAACAAAAATTGACTATTTCCTTCGTATTTCTTTTTATTTTACTAAAGTCAGACAAAGAATCAAGTCATGGATTGGTGTTCAATACCATTGAAGTAGTTTATAAAATATACATTACTGAGCAACATCCACAAAAGAATAATTAGAGATTTATTAAATTATTTGCCACTTAATTTAAACAATTTTTTATAAATTTATTAAAATAATAAAATAACTCATTTAATAAAATAATTTAAATATCTTCGAACTAGTGTCATCTGTCATGAAAATAATTCGTTGAAATTGATGGATAGATGTAACCATTCAAGAATTTCGATCGTTTTTCTCATCTATCTATCTATATATTGACGGAAAAGCAAATTTTATCAACCGCATTTTAAGTCAAGATGTTACCATTAATACCATTGTATCAATCTTTATCATTTTCTCGATCTTTCATGTTGACTGGATGGCATTATACATTTGCTATTCAGCGTTATTCATCATCAATCCGTCCACCGACACCTCCCTATTCGGGTTCATCAATGAAAAAATGTATTGATTTATAGTTAAAATAAAGATAAAACATATTATTGTGAAAATTTTAGCCGGTGCAGTCACTCAAACATTTGATACAATGATCGATTTTCGACGTCAACAAGCAAGACGAACAGTGCTTATTCATGTAAACTACTAAGAAATTTTGTTTCGAACTGTTTTTTTTTTGTTTAAATAAACTTTTAGCTCGGTCGAAGTCATTCCGAATCGGAGTTGTACAAATTGTGTTCACGAGTTGGTCCAATCACAAATATGACACTTTATACAGCTAATAAAAAGGTTAACTAATAATTCTTTTGGAAAAGATTATCATGTCACAAACTAGTCAAGATCTTTTACTCATTCTATTTCATCAATTTTTGGACAAACATATTTTCAAATTTCGTTAAATTAGAGTATATAAAAAAGTATTGACAATTGCAAATGAAAGTTTATCGAGAATATTATGGAAGAAGTTCAAATCTTTGCTTTAAATAACAGACTTCAATTGAGATGAGCAAGTTACAAAAGATGAAGATAAAGAAAAGTTTAAAGCTAATATGCATATTATACGATAGACTATATTTTTAATAAAAAAAAAGTTATTTAATCCAACAGATTGCTTTGCAATCTGATATACATATATATATTATCTTGATGAAATAATTGAACACAGCAAAAACAAAAACTTTAAGTTATATTATATATCTGCGCCTTTCCATTTATACGTTCATAAATTCGAAGTACGACAATAAGATCAGTTTTAATCACTTAATTTTTCAAACAGCTAAGACAATAACGTTTTTACTTGAAAATTTTCTATTAGAACTGCGATGAGTAGGACCAATCATATTTAGATGATAACTTATTAAAATAATAACTTACTAAAAACTATTTTGTAAATCTTTATATGTAATTGAGAAGCTTTTTAGTCTATTATGAATAATAATAAAATTAAAATATATATATTATAAGATATTTATTTCTATTGTATTATTTAGGAATGTGCTTTACTCGAGTTTTCCACTGAACAAAGTGTCAAACATCTTCTAAAGATTACCAGTCATTTTACTAATGAAAATCGATTACCATGTGCATCACGAAATCTTTATTTTGCAGTATGTGACTATTTTATAAGAGAAATTTTTCTTGTTCTTTCTGTAGTCTCAATATACAGGTGCACGATTAAAATATCCACCTGTTGGTCGTGAAGTTCAACAACTTGATGATTCAATTATTGATAAATCTTTAAATGATATTCGTAACGTAAGGTTAGTAATTAGAGAAAAAGAATTCTATTTGAATTTTTTTTCTAAATATTAATATTGTATTTTGTTGAGATTAGTGATCAAATTCGTTATTTTTGGCAAAAGACAAAATTAACTGAACTTGATACTCGTCTACGTTTTTTTGTTGCCTCACTTGTTGAAGGTAAATAAGAAAATTTATTCTAATAAAATATGAAAAAAAGAAATTTTTCTTTTATTGTAGAAGCATTAAGAAGTATTTTTGTTGATACTGTTTGTCTTCCATTCGGTTCATCTGTAACTACTTTTGGAAAATCTCGTTGTGATCTTGACATGTTATTATCATTTGAAGATTTTCGAGATAAAAATGTATTTATTTTATATTCACATGTTTTTGTTTATTAATTTATTCAAATTTTTAGAATCAAATAAAATTTGATGGAAAATTGCAACAACTTCGGTTTTTAACCAAGCGTAGCTATTTGAATGATCGATTTCAAGCACAAGCATATCTCAAAGTAAATTTTTACTTTATCAACAATAAGAAAATAATGATTCAATACTTTACTCAGTTAAATCTCTGCAGGATGGGCAAAACTTTAATAAGACCAAAAGAAACATAGCTACTTACAGTCATATGTTGTTATAAGATGATAGTTCGTTTTGGAAGAAAATGTCTTTCGATAATTTTCAAATATGAACCTTTAAAAAATTGAGTTTAGATTTCATTAGAATATAAAAAGCAAAATAATTGAATTTCTTTTTTTACAGATTCTTGCTGATACATTAAAACATTTCATGGCTGAATGTACTAATGTACAAATAATTCTTCCAGCACGTGTACCTATTGTACGTTTTCAACATCGATTATCTGATCTTCAATGTGATGTATCAATGAGTGAATTTAAGTAAGATCAATTAAAATAATAAACCAAAGAATCAATAAATTATTTATTTTCTATAATGAATAGATCTTCATATTATATGTCAAAGTTATTATGGGGTTTAAGTTCAATCGATAGTCGTGTTGCACCACTTGTTTTCGTTATTCGACGTTGGGCACGTGAAGCTTCCATAACACAGAGTACACCTGGACCATGGTTTTCAAATTTCCAAATGACATTACTTGTTCTTTTCTATCTACAATCAATTAGAATTTTGCCTAAACTTAATTATATTAATGAACAATCTGTCACAACACCATCATCATCACCATCTCAGGATGCAACTTCAACCAATGGTAACTATATAGTTGATAAACGAAAAATAAATTAACAGAATTTTATTTAATATTTCTAGGTGATCTTAGTGATGATTTAATTCTTATGAATGAATTGGAAAATATTCGTCGTGTTCATCCGAATAAGTCAAATAATGATTCTCTTGGTGAGAAATATTCTTTGAGACTTTGTTAATAATTTATTTGACGAAATGAATTTTATTGTTTGACAAAGTTCTCTAAAAAGACTGACGTTTTTTATTAATCGATATAACTATTGAGAATATTTAATGAGTACTAGTCAGTTATAGAAAAGTCTAGAATAATTTGATTTTTCGGGCCTTCATTCTTTATATATCGAAAGTTTCCTGAGCGTTTCAACAAAAAACTGGTCATGTTGAAAATTGACTTTCGACTTCAAACATTGCACAAATTAAGTCCTTAACGAGATAAGCTCATTTGGAAAGTTATAAGTTTTCTGGTATATCCTATCCTGAGATATTCAATATTCGAAACTTTCTCATGTGTAAAAGCAAATTTTATTCATATATTTGTACATTCAGAAAGAAAATACTAGTTACACAATCAACGAATGTCATTAAGGACTTTATTCGGGCAAAGATTGAAGTCGAAAGTCGATTTTTCATATGACCTGAGGAAAATCACATATCTTGAGAACGAAGGCTTGAAAAAACATCTAAAGAGATTTTCTCATAATCTTTCGAAAATAATCAAATTGTTTTCTGATCAGATACATTTTCAAGTATCGGACACCATCTAGTCTTATATTTTCTATATGAGTACGTTTCTGCATAAGATTAATAAAAATATACTACTTTAAGGGGGGGGGGGGGCCCTCCTCAGAAAATCCATTTTTTGGTAAAGTAATCGAAGTCGAGCTTTTATCATAGGAAGATGCAGCAAAGTTTCCTCTTTCAGAATATATATTAATTTTTTTAAAAAGGCCAAATTTTTACCGACGTTCGTAGGAGATTTCCACCTCACTACCCGGTTTTCGGAGAGATTTTCGCGGTTTTTGTTATTTTGAGGAAGACTACTTTTTTACTTCTATCAACATGGAATCAACATTCTTATATCATATAGTACGACCTGTAGTACTAGCTTGCGGCGTCTATTGCCTGCTTTCAAAAATTCCACATATTTATTATCAATATACCATTATTTTCTGCATTTAAATGAAAAAATCCATTTCTAAAAGTTTTTCAGCGTTTTTCTCAAAACATACTTTTCAATCAGAAAAATTGAGATAACTCACGCACGGTTCCAGATATAATACATCTTTTTTTTTGTTTTAAAGGTCTCAATCAGAGGAAACTTTTTATCAGCCAGTTTTTTTAAAACTAATTCCTGGGCTGAGAAAAGTGGAATTTACTGTCGTCAGATCGCTGTTTTTTATGCTTTTTTTAAGGCATGCTTACTAAAATATTCATAAAAAATGAACAATATGGAATTCAAAAAATTCTGGTTGATGAAAAGTTGCGTACTGACATTGGCTTTAATTTGAAACCACCCCAAGCTCAATATCTCGTATTGCGACAGAGTTATCCAGATTCTCCTGAAGGACAAAAATGGCCTATGAATCAGCTGAAACTCCGGTCTAGTACGGCCAAGCGGGCTGAAATTTTTACCAGAGACGTATCTCTCCAGGATCACTGATCTCTGACATTTTCAGCTCCAAAGACCCATTCTAAGTGGGAAATCATTTCTGAGGGGGGGGGGAGCTTAACTCATTATTATATAATGAAAGAGGAAGAATATATGATGTCAAATAATTATTTTATACAATGACATTTCTATTGTTTGTTTTAGCCACTCTCTTCAAAGGATTCTTTTCATTTTATGAAAATTTTGATTTTCAATCATCTGTAATAACATTACTTGAACGTCAAAATACATTAAAGTCATTATTGATTCAAGCTGGTAAAGATAAAGAATGGCCAATATACCTTGAAAATCCACTTGTACCATCAATGAATGCATCAAAAAATCTCGTTGAATCTGAAGGTGAACGATTTCGTCAAACATGCTCAAAAGCATCAGAGATATTATCACAATCATCTAAAAATCTTCTATCATTATTTGAAGAATGTCGACAATCATTACCTGATGATCTTATTGCACGTGCTTATCCAGCACCTATATCAATAATGCCTAATTTAGAAACAGATATTGATCAAGAAGAAATATCAACCATAAGAGATATGCAACAAGAACAAATTGAGCAAGTATTTGATCATACTCATCATCATGTTGTTAATTCATGAAAAATGCAAAACATGTTGTTTTTTTTTTCTTTCTTGTTTTTTTGTTATTGAATTAGAAAACAAACAAAAAACTCTATGTATTGTTGAAAAGATAAATTTGTCTTGTTCTAGATAATGCCTTCATTAGGTTCGGATACATTTTCTTCGAAAGATCATCGTCATTTTACAATAAATACATTATTTCAATTAATAACTGAAACAAATAATGATGATGATAATCGATCGCTTTCTCTACATGTAAATGAACAAACAAATAATTATACAAATGGAAACAGTATTGATGGTTATTTAATAGAAAATGATCTTCGTCATTTGTGGTATCTTCTCTCGCAAATGATACGTAAAAGACTTCTTAAACATGAACCATGTTTATTACCAGAACTTGGTGCTTTTGTTGTTATTGATCATTCATCATCGAATAATGAAAATATTCTAATAAAAGAACCATTTTTTGTATTAGATACAACATTTGCTCGTCGTCATCGTTTATCACGTATTAAAAAACCAAATCTTTCATCAGCACTTTCACTTTCACTTCAAGCTAATGGAAATTCAACACATATTGCACCAAATACAACATTATCATCATTTAATATGCAAACATTAGATTATCTTTCATTACAAAATGAATCTGGTTTAACACGTGAACAATTAATGACAGCTATATCACAAATATTTGGTATTATTGATAAAGAAGTATATCCATACAGATATTGTGATTTAGAATTTCCTCAATTGGGAAATTTTAGAATTTTATTTGGATTGGCTATATTTGATTTTAGTGATTCATTTCTTGATGAATTTAAACTAACACTTAATACTATTTCAACATCAAATGACTAATAAATAAACAGAGTTTTTACTCCGGTGATTTTTGGTTTTTGATTCGTAATATTATTTTTGAGTTTTTGTCAGATTTTGTTTTTTTTTTTTTGTTTTGTTCAATGTATATATTTTTCATGTTTGTTTCTTTATAATTATTTATTTCATGTGTTATTAAAGAGTAAATATTTATCTAACATGTATAGTAGTTTTTAAAAAAAATACTTATCAGAAAATCTCCGAGTGATACAGAAACAATAATAATGTTTCGATCACGATGACAGCATTTTGAAAGAAAAGGTCAAATACGATAATTATTCACTTATTGTCAATCATGCATCAAATAAAAAATTAATGAATAAATGAGATCGGTTTTTCTTTATAGAGTACATATCAATCGAAGATATTATTGTTTTCATCATGGTAAATTATGAAAATTAATCTTAGAAAAATTCTAGTTTTTTATTTAAGGAGCATATTAAATAAAAAAAAAACATTTGATGAATTTTTCCAATGATCAACATTAAATCAATAATAAATGCGAAAACCTCGGATTTAAATCCGAGTGTTATGTGTACTTCAAAAAGTGAAAAGGTACATTCACTGTGCTTTTTATCACTAAATTGCAAGGAGAAAATACAGACGTGCTAAGTTNTGAGAAAAAAAAACTTGTCTGTTGAGTTTTCGAAACTATTTACTCTGCCATTTAACGTTAAGTGGTGCATAAAATGCAAAGCCTACCAAGTGGAAAAATCTTACGAAATTGTAAGAATATCTTATCGTAGAATTTAATATTTATTTTACTATAAAATTCTTGCAAAGTCTAATGATCGGAATATTATAAGACCTTATAAGATTATAATTTTAGATTTCACTTATACAATCTGTTTTGATAACAATAGTTTTATATATTTGAATAAATATTTAAGTGATTCAATACGTTCTACTTTAGACACAACTTTTTTAGCATTGAAAATACATCTTATATGTAGTGGTGTTGATCTGCTAAAAAATGACTCCACAGATATTTTAATGAATTTGATTAAATAAAAGTAGATTTTCTTTTTTTTTAAATTGTTTATTTTGTTACATTTTAATGGGTCTACGAAAATTGTTTGATGCAAAAAATAGTTGAGAAATTTATAATAAAAGAACAACAGCTTTTTCTACAAAAATTTTTCAACTGTATCAAGAAAAATATCGGCTCATAAGTTATGTGTAATCATTCTAATTCTTGTGATAATACCATATAAAATTGAAATAGACGTTGATCATTTTTCAGGGCATTTAATTTTAAACGACAGAAAAAGTAAAAATTTATGGTGGGTGTGAGTTTGGATGTTGGTATAGCTGTTCTTACATTCCCCACACATCGACATTCACAATCTCAAAATTCTTTTTTCTTAGTTCCTTTTTTCTATTAGAATTAATTTCAGTATAACTCCATGAAAGTTTCTAGATCTAAAAATTTTAGTTTTGAAAAGAAATTCCAGTTCATATGTTGCATATATCGGAGAAGTAAGTATACACTCGTTTGTAGTGATTTACAATTGGCTGATAAAGTCTTCCATCTTCTTTTTTTGTATTAGCTTAGTTTATTCGTCTGAGTTGAAGCTTTTATTAGAAAAGAGCTTTTGCTCTTTCATTATAAATATCTCAACTAGTTTTCTTTTGACTATTTTTCGCTTTCTCTATTTTAAAGATCAAATTCAATAAAGATAATTCTTTTCTTTTTCTAATGTGTTTTTTTTTAAGTCCATATTTGTGGTTTCATTTAGCTCTTGCAGTTTTAATCAATATACATATGCGAATAAAAGTAAAAGACTTTCTTAAGGAAACAAGATAATAGAAGTCAACAATAGAAGAAAATCAAATATGCAACGTTATCGGAAACCTGGCAAATCATTTATGTATATAAAACCGTACGAGATCGTACGGTAAGTTCCTGTATGATTTTATAAGAATCGTACAAGACCTTATAATAGGATTGTTTGACCTGAACAGTTCACTGCTAATTCAAAGTTTATGTCAATTGCATAAAGGCCAACTATTCCAATAGAATTCTTGGTATTTCTCATATAGTAACTTTTTAAATTTTATGACATCATATCATAATATTCAGATGGGAGAAATAAATCATAATATGAAATATAAAAAGACTAATAAATAAATTAAATGTTTTCTTAAATCAACTTATAACTGATCATTTGTTTTTTTTTCTTTTTGTGTCCAATAAAAAATTTGCTATTTTATTTTCTTAAGAAATTAACACCTGTTGTACGGCTAAGATGTATTTTTTTTTGCTCTGTCGAATCAATTTGAAAGAACTAATCAGACAAAATATAGACTTCGATATCTAATTGCAATCGGATTTATTACTTTTTTTCTGTTATCAACTTTTATTGATTGTTATTCCATAATTCATTCTATATCCTTTCTTTTTATATTCTTGCAAAATACCAATGAGTTAAACGATCATTTTAATACACATACAATTCAAAAAAGAAAAAGAAATTATATTGAATAATAATCAAATGCCACTATTAATGAATATTGTACAATTTTAAATGCTTTTAGGGTTTTTCTTGAAATAGGAGAGAAAAGATATTTTTATTTGAAATTCTTTTTTGTTGTCTTTGTTTTAGTAATAATTAGTACTAAAAGAAAAAGGAAATATTTTAAAGATAAAGAAGAAAAAAAGAACTTCTAACCGTATCAAAAAATTTTCTAAGCATTCGTCGAAGATTAACTCGTTTAATTGATGCCCTTTGAAGAATAAAATCAAGACGTTTTGCACTATTTTGATTTGGTTTATTATGAACTTGAACATATCGAGTTTGTGTTTCATAACCTGGACTTATAACTTGAACTGCATAGGTTCCATCAATAAGTAGACGATAATAATCACCTCCTATATCTATTTATCAGTAGAACAAAAAGGAAAATTTTATTTCTAATTTTTAAACAATTTCTTACTTGATGTAACGTCATGATCGATATATTCCCACTTATTATTAATTAATCGATTGACTTTAATAGTTGCATCAGAAATCATATCACCTTCTTCATTTTGAATCAGTCCTTTAATACCCAAATGAGTCTAAAATCAAAAATTCAAAACTACACTAAACAAATATATATTCTTTATTCATTATTACCTGCCACATAAAATTTATTAATGATTTTTTATTATCATTCCAAAGTGAAAATAATTCTTTGCCAGGTGGAAATTTTTTACAACCAAGTTCAACTGTTAATTCAAAACAATTACTTGCTAAATAATTGAAATCCTGCATTCCACCACATACTACATACCTTAATGAACAAACAATAAAAAAAAAAAACTATCGAAACTTGGGATGTACAATTTCAGTCTATTGACCACTAGAGCTCGTTGGATCTGTTATTCTCTAATCGGAATAGAATAGTCGCTCCGAAGATTTGATATATTTTCCTCCTGTTTTTCTTATTCTGTAGCTCGTGCACACTACATACTTCTTAGAGGAATTGCTTGAGAAAAGTGTTGGATAGAGCCGATCAGGTCCAAAGTTTTTGGACCCAGATCTGACCCAGTCTGGCACCAACACGACGGGATCTATTGATCACCGACTCATAAGGTAACGCTTCCAACTGGTAAGCTCTGTTCGAGATCATACTTAACTAAGTGTTGGGGTCGACGGTGTATATAAAAGTTCTGATTACATAGTCAAAAACAAAACTGACTTGCCCGAATCATTTGTTGAACACGATCACTTTTTCAATTCTGTTATCTTGACATAAAAGCATCCGTTTTCACTAAAACTTTCAAAGTATATTATAAAGACCATAAGATCTACTTTCAGGTGAGATTTCAGACTAAAACTCCTTGATTCAGTTTTCTTCATAATATTTTACAATAGGCTGAACATTTGATAAAACGATCATAACCAAAAAAGAAAATGGTAATGGCACATATCATTTTTAGGATTTTATCGCACCATAGACTCTAGCAATCAAGAAATTATGAGCTCGAACGAAGGTTATCAGTTGGAAGAGTTTCTCTGTCAGTATAGTTAGTGTACACTGGTTCTAATGTTCAGTGAAGTTTTGGAATACACTGCTAGAAAAAGGTCATCTTTTCATATAGTTGGCGTCTCATTGTTGTAGCGAACGCGAGTGTTAGTCCACTATGTGTCAATGGCTCCCTATTCAATATTTACATTAACATTATATATCTCTAATATAAACTAAATTAAATTTCATTTATTTACCATCCTGCACCATTTGTAATTCCTTCAGAAAAAATATCTGTAGTACAAGGTTTTTCCTGTGATTGCATTTTTTTATGAGTATATGAATATGATTTTGCTAATTGTCTATAATATTCAAAATAATGTCAAATAAAAAAAAAAAATTTAAACATTTACTGAAACAATGGATCATCAGGTGATGGTGAATACATTTGACGATGATTTTCTGAATCGTCATATGGATAAATAATAACAAGATCACCATTATGTAAATTAGCTGATAATACAAATGGATTTTGCATGATCCAAAAAGCAACTGTTATTGTTTCGATTTGATACTAAATATATGAAATGCTATTGTTTATAAATTCATTTTCATTTTACCGGATTATTTTGACAATCATTTTCTGATGTTAATTCAATAAATGTTTCCATGTCAAGATGATTATTTCTATGATGAACATAATGATTATATTTATAAATAAATTCATCTAAATTAGGAAAATTTCGATTTAAATCAACATTATTCGCATTTGATCGACCAGTAACCCAATTTATTACGCCAGATTCCTAAGATAAAAACAAAAAAACAAGACTTGCATAAATTTTCATTTAAAATTGTATTATCTAACTTTTAACATTGTTGAAATATCTTTGAATTGATTAGGTTTTGTGTGATTCCATTCATGTTTTACAGCAGCTTCCCAACCATCTATAAACAAAGTTTATTTTTGTTATATAAAATATGTATTTATAATTTATTTACCAGGATTCATTGATGGCATTAGATGTATACGTGTATTTTCAATTAAATTTTTTATGTGTTCATTATTATTTTTATATTCTTGACAAAGATATTCAGCTAATCTTAATAATAATTCTCGACCAACAACTTCATTTCCATGCATATTTCCAACATATTTAAATTCTGGTTCGAGTAATTCATGATCTTTTGGATGATCAGAAAAAACAATAACTCGTAACGGACGATTTTCAACAGATTTTAATGGCAAATCATATATATAGGTTATATCAGGGCATTTCTTATGTATACGATCGAGTACAACCAACATTTCGTCTGTATTATGATGATTTTCATATCCGATTAATTCGTTTTGATCTTGACAAAAACAAAGTACAATAAGAGATGTGATGAGAATACAATTTTGAAAATAAAGCAACTTTTGAATCATTCTTGATGATCTATACAAATAAAAATAAAGTCGAACTAATATTTTTTTTTCTTCGTTCAAAAATAAACTATAACCCCGAAAAAAGATTGATAAAAATTTAAAAATCGAAGAAAATATTCTCCTTATTTTCAATGAAAGACGAAGCGATAGTTTCTCAGTTTTTTCTTGTTATTCCTCGTTTGCTATTTTTCAATGATGCAGATCTATATTCGACCTACGCAAATAAGCGATGCCATCGGTGGAGCACGAGAGAGAGAGCGAAAAAAACTGAATGAAAATTTATTTTTTCAGTGACTCTTTTTTCGCTCCGTTTATAATGCTATCAGATAATTAAATCAGATGGTAAAGCAAATTATCTGTGTATCCTTAGCAGTATTCAACCATTCGTGCGTTTAGGATCTCACACAAAAATATACAAAATAAACATGGGTAACATAGTTAGTAGTGATGATGATGAGTATGATTAGTTTATATAGTTAACTGTTGATTGTCAACACTTTTATGAAGGCTGACGTGCAAAATAATAATATATTTACGGAACTAAAATGTTCTACTGATTAATAAATGAATAGAATATCAAGTTTTAATTCTGAACAACGTCATTGAATAAGAATTTTATCAAGTTTCTCATATATTAATACAAATGGTTATTATAGAAACTGAAATGTAATGCTAAGTAGTGTCACCAAAGAGACCTGACTTCCGTCCTGCCTTAATTCAAAAATTTGCTTATCCCACTAGTGACGTTTCAAATAGGGCTAAATCTTTTCCTATTCATTGTTAGTTTAAAGAACAATTTTAATAACATGATATTCACAGATGTCAATCCTATTTTTCTTTTGATACACTCAACTGTATTGTAATGTTCATTCTATTGAAACAGGTTTCATTTGTTCATTTTGATTAAAATCGAAATTTTAATTGTCTGACTTTATAAATCGAGTTAGTTAATCGGTATTTCCTATCTATTGATTAATTCTTGCCGTTCGATGGAATGACTTGTATTATTATGTTTCAGTTTTCCTGTGATTTTAACAGATTGGTTACAAATAGTTATTAATTCATCTAGTTAAATCTTTTCGTTATAAAATTGATTTGATTGAAAAAATAGATTCAATCAACAAGATATCATTACGAGAGTTGTTAACTGATGACTAAGATAATATCGAATGAGTTTGATTCATTATTGATATTCTTCTCTATTGCATCTTTTATGATTTAATTAGTCAAAAGATAGTATCAAGTAAGTCTTTTAGATGTAAGAAAACCTATACTCGATTTCTATACTTGTTTTATCATACTGCAACCAACTGAAGTTCCTTTTTTTAATTCGAAAATCAACAAGAAAACCGATATAAACGTATTCTGTGTAATGCCTTTTCATGTCAAACTGTTGTAAATAGAGACAGTAAAAATTGAATAACAATAAAATGTTGACATTGATTGTATTTAAATAAATATCAAAAGTAATGTTTAGATACATTTATTTGATATAATCAAGTTTAATACTTTATAAAATCATTTATCTAAATAGAATATCTTCGAAGGTAAATTTATTAAGTTGATTACAACATTCGTCAAATTTTTATAGCTATCAATACAGTAAATAATACATGATAGTCAAGTTCTTGCGTAACTGACCTTTTCTTTTTCTTCTGACAAAGAATTTTTTCACTATGTTTTTGCTTCTGTTTTCTGCACGTTGAAAATCAGATCTCAACAAACAGAAAAATGATGTTCACTATAAAAATATTTAAATTATAAACCTTTTGATAATAAGAATCTTCTCTTCTCCCTAAGCCATACCTACACGCACAACCAAACTCACATTCTTAGAACAACAATTGTGTTTTCTTGTAGAATATAGATCTAAAATTTTTATGGGCCTTATTATTTAGGAGTTATTAGCAGACTTTTTAGAGGTCTGTAAATTAAGTTTGAACGAACTTCACCATGCCAAAAATCAGAGAAAATACAAGCGAAAATTATGTTGCTTGCCAGGAGTGAACAGGCAAACGTTTCTGTATAAATCAGTATGCTAATGATTAGTGTGCTGCTGGTTATTTGTTAACAGTGAATATTTTGGTAAACAATACCGTTCCAATTTAGACAATTTTTCTCGATTTCTATCAAAATAGGCTTGATAAATGAGCTCGGCTATTCCTGAATAATTGTTCTAAAAGCTCTGATTCTTGTGCCGCTTTGTAGATAACAATATATTCTTTAATTCTATGCAAAAAAAAATGGTAATATAACATACTCAATAAAAGAGCTAATTGTTGCAGAAAAAGTTAAATTTTCCGTCTGAACTTCATGTTTGTACCTTTCAAAGGTCGACTCATAACTCCAACACCAGAAGTCCTAGAAAGTTTTCGAACCTATATTCAGAAACGCCTGCCAGGAAAGTTTTTTAACTTTCACAGGGACCTATGACCTTCCTTGGATAGTTATAGGAGGCGACCCTGGGCTGTTGGTAGCCACTGGTCTATTCATGAGGCTAGCAACCTCTAGGTGGACACAAAACTATTACTGCTAACGAAAAGAAACATTATCGGTGCGTAAATGCACAAAATCAGGTCTTCTTTGGCGGATGGAACGTTAGATCCTGTGTAAAACAATCAAAAAAAGAAATAATAATTCAGCAATTATAAAAGAATAGAATTCAAATAGCTGCACTAAGTGAAACGTGTATGTACGATTCAGGTATAAAATCAGTAAGCGACTACACAATGATCTATTCAGGTGCACCACATGAAACGAAAACACGAAAAGCTCATGGCGTGGCAATCTGCCTGGATCAGACTGCCACAAAGGTTTGGAAGGATTCAGGGAGCGAATGAGTACCAATAAGCGAACGAATTATTAAAATTCGATTGTATTGTGCACCAATTCACATTACTGTAATTGCAGTCGACTCTCCTATTAATCCTCTGACGAAACAAATGGGCGATAAATGTGATAAATTCTATAATGATTTACAAGATACATTAAAAGATATACGTATGTGCAAAAGATATGATCATTATAATGGATGATCTAAATGCTCGAGTTGGCCATGACCAACAAAAACAACGACAACAACATGTAATAAGAAGCGGTGTCGGGCCATTTACAGTGGATATAGAAAACGAAAACGGATCGAAACTCATCGACTTTTGTGAAATGAATAATATTATAATCTCGAACACGTTTTTCAAGCATAAATTAATGCACCCAAACGGTAACAGTCTAGAACATCCTTTAAAAAAATGTCCTCGTATTTCGTCCACAGAAAAAATGTTCTTCAGATGAAATGTCCCTAGTAAAAATGTCCTTTAAAAAATGTCTTTCATATAAAAAATGTCCTTTCAGTAAAATTTCAAAAACAGTTTAGAATAATGTTGATAAAATTAATTTTATTTATAGTAACGAATCAATTTTTATTTTCATCATTAAGATTCGTGTGTAAAAGCACATCACAACTTCTATTAGCACAACGCCAAAATTTAGTTGTTTTATTTTTATTGAAATTTTTCAGCTGATATTAATAACGATTCATAGTTAACATACAGTTTTTCGTTTATTTGATGTTGTTTTTGTAATTGTTGGTTTAGGTGAAATTGATAACAATGAAGATGATGATTCAGTTGGTTTTGACGATGAAGATGATGATAAGTAATTTATTGATTTTGCAGAAGAAAAAGATGATGATGATGTTTCATCAGTTGATATTGAATCACACGATTCCATTTAAAAATACTTGTTGTGCTTGTTTGTAAATTTGTTATAGGTATAACTAATCGTACTAGAACATTTTTTTCCTTACTTCATTCATTACATTTTAAGATAAACCTCTATGTAATTAATATAAATCTCTAATACGATATGTGTGAACTACAGCGAAATCTAGATACTGGACTAATTTTATTTTAACATCTTCACAAGAAAGTGAAGGACATTTTTTTTATTGAGGGACATTTTTCTTAGGGACATTTTTTCACGGACAAAAATCTGGAGGACATTTTTTCTGAGGACGAAAATGCGAGGACATTTTTAAAAGGACATTCTAGACTGTATTTCACCAAACATCATGGATGCATCCACGAACAAAAAAATGGCACATGATCGACTATACTCTTGTAAATAAGAAGTTTAGATCAAGTGTTGAAGATGTTCGAATGCTCAGAGGGACAGCACGTACAATAGGAACTGATCACCATCTAATGCGTGTCAAGATTAAAATACATCTGAAAAGCAGAAAAAATGTCAACTCGAAGAAAATAAACGTTGACAGTGCTAAGCTAAAAGATAGCAAACTACTAGAAGCGTTTCAAAAAGATCTTCATGACATATTCAATAATGCAAAAGATGACACATTCAGCATTCATCAGAGATACGAACTATTTTTGTCACAGATAAAAGAAAAGGCCAAATATCATTTTCCTGTTGACAAAAACGCAAACCGAAAAAGGAAAGAATGGTTGACAAGCGACATTCTAAAAGTTATTGACCAAAAATCAATAGCTTATGTTGAATGGCAAAACAATCGTGGCTCTAATTTAGAGTCTAAATTTCATAAAAACTATAAACGCTTGCGAAAAACAGTTAAAATAATGACGGAACATCGTCAAGAAGAATACTGGGATGAAGTATGCGAAAATATTGAAAAATCTATCAAAAATAATGATCCTATGACGGCTTTTTCCATCATTAGACGTCTCAGAGGAGGAAGTAAAAGAGACGAAAACATGCCAGTGCAAGATAAAAGTGGTAAACTACTGGTAAATTCAAAAGATACCTTGAAACGTTGGCGTGAATTTTTCTATGAAACTCTCAACGTAGACTCATCAATTGATCAAAATCTTATTGATCTAATTGAAACATCGACTCTGTCAATAACTGAAGAGCGGCGGCAAAATGCTCCACTATCTATTGAAGAAGTGAAGAAAGCTCTAAGTCAAATGAAATCTAGGAGAGCCCCAGGTAGTGATGAAGTCACAGTTGACATCCTAAAAGCTGGTGGCGAACCAATAATACGATGGCTGTTCGAATTCTTTACTGATGTATGGGAGAACGAGCAGATGGTAAAGGAATGGAACATGACAACCCTAATCAAACTGTACAAAAATAAAGGTGATAGGAAAATTTGCGACAACTATAGAGGCATCGCACTATTGAATACAACTAGTAAAATATTTTCACGTATTATACTTAACCGTATTCATGATTTCGTAGACTGCCAACTATTAGAAATACAATCTGGTTTTAGATCAAATAGGTCAACTATAGATCAGATATTCACTTTAAAAATGACAATGGAAAAAAGAAGAGCATTCAATAAGCCTTTATTTATGTGCTTCATTGATATCACGAAAGCCTACGATTCGGTCAACCGTGAACTCTTATGGAAAGTATGTCGTAGTTATGGCATTAGTGATAAATTGGTTAACTTATTAAAAATGCTATATAAACACTCAATAGCAAAAGTCAAAATAAATGGTGAATTGTCGGATAGTTTCGAAATGAATACAGGTGTAATGCAAGGAGGTATTCCTTCACCAATCCTATTCAACATTCTATTTGACTTCATCATAAGAGAAGTTATTAATGAAGCTGCTATATCAGGAGTAAAATTCTCGTATGGTAGTAATGATTTCTTTCACGGAAAAAACGAAAACCATGATGACTTCGACATTTTGGCATTATTATATGCAGATGATCTACTTGTAATGTGTGAAAAGATCTCTGATCTAGAAAAATTCATTAGTTGTTTTGAAAAAGTAACACAACAATATGGTTTGACTATGAACATAAAAAAAACTTGTGTGATGTCACTACAACAACTAAAAGAAGATCAACATAGAAAGGCATTAAAAGGACAAGTTATCAACTATGATGACGATATAAACATAAATATTAGAAATCAAAAAATCGAAACAGCTGACTCTTTTACATATTTAGGTTACACTATAACGAAAGATCAGCGACATGACTCAGAAATATCTGTAAGACTAACAAAAGCTTCTAAAGCTTTTAATTCACTACGCCATGCCATATGGCAAAGAAAATCAGTCTCTATCACAGCAAGACTTCGAATTTTTAGAGCTTGTGTAATTCCAGTTTTACTATACGGTAGTGAAACATGGGCTCTTACTATAAAACAAGAACAACGAATAACTACTTTTTATAATAAATGTTTACGGACAATCATAGGAGTAAACTTAGGTGATAGAATGTCTAATGAAACATTGTTAGACATTACAGGTCAGCCATCAATTGAAAATATCATGCGGAGAAACAGACTAAGATGGTTTGGGCACGTTAACCGCACTGCTAACCCGGACGGTTCACCATCATTAATAAAAAAAGCGATGTTTTCATACTTTCATGGTGAAAAGAGACCTAGTAATATAGGAAGATGCAAACAGTGGGAGGACAAAATTCTAAAAGACATAAATGAATTACAAATACAGAACTGGCGTAGGTTGACGCTTAACAGAAAAAAATGGCGTGAAACAATTAATAAGAATGTGCATGTAAAACCAGTATCTACAAACATTAAAGATATTGTTTATCAATATAAAAAACGAGCAGCTCAGACAAGGAAAACAGATCTAGCTGCACTGTCAGAGTCACCAAAACGTAAAGTTACAGAAATATTGATCAAACAGAACAATCAATACAATTGCCCAGGCTGCAAACTGAATTTCAAGCCACAAGGAATCACAAATCATGTGAAATCTTGTGTAACAGCAAAAATGTGGTGCAAAAGGAACAGCATTATCTGAACAAATTAATGGTTTTACACCTACTAAAATTGAGCTAAGAATGGTATGATGACTATTATCTAAAACTGTGATCATCAGAGGATAATAGTCTGATGGAAGTCTTAACTCTTTTCTAGTAGTGATCAACGTGGTGCTCGTCGAACAAAGACAATAGACTCATTTTTTCTTTTTTTTCCTTTATTACTCTTTTTTTCTTTTTCTCTTGTTTGTATTATGTTTCTCACCTTACACGGGTAACGGTAAGGGTCTATAAAATAAAAATAATCTACTGAGATCAGAAGGAAAATTTAAACAAGTGCTAAGTTTTTCGAAACCTCGAAATTAAAAATACGACATATACTTTGGTACACCGAAAAATGTAAAAAGAGATTTCCTCAGATACTAATAAATGTCCTGAAGTTTTGACAAATTGTCGTTCAAGCATGCGCTTCGATTTTGCACCTCTATTAAGAAGTAAACAAATTGTTAATAAAATTGGTAATCATTTTCAAATGAAAAAAGCAAATACATGAAAGTACTGATTGTAAATTCAAAGTTATATCTAATTTTAACAGAAAATGCAATCGTGTATTTTTTTATTACCGGGTGATCCAAAAGTTTTGCAACATTTTGTGTTTTGCACATATCTCAGTTCAGACAAAAGATACAATATTAAATTTAATTTTGGAAGATGTACAATTCAATTCTCTAAAAACGTGTATTTAGCTTAATATAAAATAATAGACCTGAACCTTTCTATGAACCAAATAGTATGATGATATGAAATGCATATATTTTCCACAGATTATTTTATTTAAGTACTTTTTCTGTACGAGCGAATGTTTCGATTTTTGAAATACTAGACAGTAAGATAGCTCTTCACAGTTTTAGTCGATTGCTTGTATATTTAACATTCGTTCGTTCTATAAGACACAATTTTTGGCACAGCAATATTTTGAGAATAGTCAAATTTTCTCTCCATTATCCATCGCCAGAAAAGCAACTCTTAAAAACGTGACCGGTTGCCAAATCGAGTTTACTATTGCAAGACTTTATAGCAAACGGGATTCTCTTTCTAAACAAAACTAAAAAAGCATTCGATAAAACAATTCAATTGGGATAAGAATCTGAACGATTCGAAGAATGCTGTTTCTACCATAGAATATATGATAGGCAATTTGTATTACTCCTAAATAGATTGTAATAGAACGCAGATGAATCATTCTAAAAGAGCATTAATATGTGATAGTATTGCTGATAATTATATTTTAAAGCGCCTGTTTAAAACACGAGAAAGTCAGAAAATGTGTAATTAGAAACAGGTGTGGGAAGTAGATACAATTCACATAATCATACTATTTGATACACAAAAATGCTCAGTTCTATTGTTTTACATTGAGTTAAACACAGGTTTGTAGAGAATTGAATTGCGCATCTTCCGAAATTATATTTAAGATATTATCTTTTGTCTGACCTGAGATATATGCAAAACTAAAAATGTTGCAAAACTTTTGGATCACCTGGTATATACATATGCAAGTGAATCGAAATTTAGAATTTAATTTTCTAAGAAAGAGAAATTAGATTTTACCTAATTATGCTAAGCTGAGAGTCTGCAGAATTCAGAATTGAAAAATCTCATCGATAAACAATGGATTAGCACATTAAGATATATTCTCATGAGTAAATAAACTATCAACCACTACACTCACATTTCGACCTGTCTGAAACCAGAGCTCTCTCAAGTATTCAAAAATTACAAACGAATTTGGAAAAGAATTCCATTGTTAACAGCAAAAGATAATATCTTAAATATAATTTCGGAAGATGCGCAATTCAATTCTCTACAAACCTGTGTTTAACTCAATGTNGTCACATTAAGAAACATCATCTGAGTCATTCATCATCACATAGCCATAGTATTAAAGCAACGATCTTTTATCTATGTTTTGCTTTATTTGTAGAATATTCTAGTTATTTATTCCCTCGATTTCCCATCCTTACTCACTCATTACGTGCACGGCAATGCAAATCTTCGTGTATTTGGTAGCTGGTAGCTCTATCACAATCGAATGTGAGACCAGCGATACTATCGAGGAGATCAAACGCAAGATTGAAGACAGGACGGGTATAGCAACTGCTCAACAACGCCTATTATTCGCTGAGATTCAGCTTGAAGATCATCGCATTTTGTCGGATTTAGGCATTCGTCAAAGTATGTAGTGTGTAAGAGTATTTTCTTATGGACCTGTAGCTGAAGAGTTGAATGATAGGGAGACGAATCGTACATAAAATGAGAATTAATCAGAAACATAATTAGCGCGCATAAACAGCAATCCCACAAGATGATTTTGGCATTTCCAACTATGAAAATTTCGAACGAGGTGATAAAAATGTGCACTTACATTAATATCTCATTGCCATATAACTTATTGGTCGACAACTTTAAGTGTCTTATATAAGATCAAGAGCATACAAATTAAGGATGTAACAATAGCAAGTATGTGTTAGAGTATTAGTATTGATAGCTCGAAGATAAATATCCAGGAACCAATAACAAATTCAGATTACTCAACCCCAAAAATGTTGACAGACCTTTGTAAGAAGCTGTTTTTGCTAAAAAAATAGAGACAAAAATTTCGCGAAGCTAATTTTATATTTTGGATGTTTTCCTTTGGAAAGTACTATTTTTCAAAAGCAATAACCTCTGATAAGGTTGGATTTAAGCGTTTTCTGGATGCAGCAATCTGAATTTGTTATGCCACACATTAGTGGTGTCATTAAACAATGCCTTTCAAAATGACTGGAAAACCTAATATTTCACTCGAATGAAATTTTCTAATGATCAGGCTTCCAATATTAAGTTTCAATATTTAAAATGTTTATTTTTGCTTGCTGTTTCATCTAATATAGGATATATGAGACTGCCGACCAATAATGTGATAAGAAAATCATCTATGAACGTATTTGCTCATTTCAGCTACATTTTCATAAATTTTCAAGAGATCTAAATCTTTTAGTCACTCTGTGGATAACTCTGTATACTTTTCATTCACATTTCTGATGAAATATTTATTAAATTTAGACTCTACTTTACACCTAATCAAGAAATTTCGAGATGGCTGTTTTCTATTCGATACACTCATTTCGCTTTCTGATGGTACCAAAAAACGCATAAGCGAGATTCAAATCGGTGACAGTTTACTTGCATTTACGTTGTTTGGCGAGATCGTCACTACATCGGTTGAAGAAGTGTTTATTCATGATATTGATGAGTACATCGAATTAAATACTGGACAAAATATGCTATGCGTAACACAAGAACATCCATTTTTCATTGGTAATGGTAACTTTTGTGCACTGAAGAAGCTTCGCATCAGCGATTGTATCTACAGCTTGGTCGATGGCTGTCTTCAAACAAAGTCAATCATAAGCAAGAAAACAATTGTTGCTCCAACGACACGTGTCTACAACTTGCGCACTGCCGAACCGCACACATATTTTGCTAATGATGTTGCTGTTCATAACAAATTGGGTCTATATTTTGTCGATGCAAGCGATACGGGTGGTCTCAAACGTCATGAATGGGGTTCCAATAGTCCTGATGAGCACTTAGCGAATCATGGCCTTTGCCTTGAGGCTCTGTGTACCAATTCACATTGTGAAGCCTATCAAAAGACAGTGATTATTAATATGGGATTTGGACAATTCGATCTTGTTGGTGGTACCAACGCTGATGTATCGAAGTGTCCAATATGTGATCACTATGCCAAACCGAAAACATGTGCTTTTAACAATTGTAAATGGCGATGGTGGGGTATAAAGCAACCTCAACATGGTCTGCCACCCAAACGAATTTCAACCGACTGGAAAGTTGCTGATAATGCCTATCATCGATTCAACGAAGATGAAAATGGATCCTCTCGATGGCGGAAGCTAGTTTTCAAAGCCCAAAAGAACTAATGACTTGAATATGACCTAACATTAACTTTCTATTTTGTAGTGAACACTTTCTAAATACATATTTATTCTTCACAGTACTCATGTAAAAAAGGATTAGAGAAAAAGTTAAAATCATAATCGAATTGTAATAAGAGATTTCAGCTTTAAAATGCAGATTACATTTGATTTTATTTAGTTTTAATCAGTTAAAAAAACTTGAATCAATTAAAATAGATTAGAAAAGATTAAATCAAATAAAATTAGCTCTTTATAGCTGAAAAATCTGATTACAATTAGACTGTAATAGTGCCATTATACTTGATTTTTTCCTTGATTGTTAAATCAACCAATGTCATCAATTCGTTATGATGTTGATATAAGCAGAACTTAAATCTATTTACTATATGCCTGTTCTTCTGTTATATATTTTTGTACAAACTCAATGACAGCTGATGATATTATAAATCCATCAGTGCTCTCGTTTATAATTTCCGGACGAAACAAACGTAAATACAGATATTTTAAATTGTTGTCTGTTGAAATGGTCTGTTCTTTGGAAGAAGTTTAAGTGTATGAATAAGTTGTTGGGAAGTCTAAGTGCCTAAGTAAAATATCTTTAATTTTGGTGATAGAATTAAGAGTGAATGTAAAATTTAAAAAAAAGATGTATTTGCTTCTTAATCATCATCGATAATATAGCAAATTTCAACTAATTGAATAATTTAATTGTGATTTGTATGTTCTGTAGCAGAGCTCCGCGGAACGGCCAAAAAGTCGTTCCATTCCGTCCTATGTTCCGCGCCGTCTGGTTCCGTTTCAGCTTATTTTGTCACCTATACGTAACTCTTCTTTGTCGAAATATGATTGAAAAAAGTGCAGCGAATTTATACTTTCTTCTTCAATGTAAATCATTTAATTTACTAAGGATCTGTTTCAAAATAGGGGTGCACCAATACCTAATTTTTACACCAAAGATCGCCTATTTGCGGTACCTAGAACGGTCAAGTGTGATCAATTCCTCGATTGATATCTACTCAGTTTTGATCGCTGCATCTGATGCATTTACCGAATATGACGGAATTCGATTGAAAGATGTAAGAATTCACAGAAAAACTAGAATTTTCTCGTAAATGCCTGTCAATTCTTACACCTTTTAATCAGCATCCGTCAAATCCAGTAATTGCATCAGATACAGTGTTCAAAAGTGAGTAGGTCTAACTCGAAGAATTAGTCGGATTTGACCGTCTGAGTATCACACATAGGCGGTCTCTACTGTGAAAAGTCAGAAATTAGTGCATCCATATTTCGAAATAATATTTACATGACAATATTTTTATTACAAAAATAAACAATGAAAAGCTCAATAAGAAGTACAAATTTAAGTACTTCTCAACGAGTAACTGATCTGAGAAAAGGTATATTGTTGACATTTTTTCAAGGTACAGGCATACGTGCTCGGGAAAAAATGAAGAAGCTTTGCAGAAGTTTTTGGATCTCTGAAAAATTGTCTTTTACCCGAAAGCAGAAACCTTGAAAAAACACTCTGGACATACTCCTAGAAATCTTTTTTCGAGGCCAAAACCTTTTTTTCAGAAGTTCGCCTGCCGAATAAAACACAGAACGTTTTAGAAGTCTAAAAATGTTTTGTATACATTTGGCAGGTCCCGCGTAGCTCTGTTCTTTAGTGTTCAACCGTCAACCATTTCAAGTGAGGTTACATCGCCATAGCGCAGTACATCAGGTCTCATTCTTTTTGCTAATCTTCGTCGATCATTAATCGTAAAACAAATTGATTGACATGTTGACCTACAAATCTCGTATGTATTATTAGATACTTTTTTAACAGGTTGATTCAAATTATTGGAACTTTGACGTGTATGAATATAATATTGAAACGATGTTAGATGAGGAAAGTTCTCTTGAAATTCATTTAGATTAATAAATTCTTTTTTCAAAACTATTCAATACAATCAAACTAAGTGATTTTAGTTGATTTTTTAATAACAAAGAAAAGTTTTTAATATTTGGATATTTTGACCATCCATATACTGACAATACTGACTTTATATGCAATTTTGTTAATGTTGTTGGGATTTGCAATGTTTTGTTTTCATTCGTCGAATTGTCATTAGGAAAACTGTTGCTAGAGCGATCATCAGTATTCACAATCAATAAATATAATTCATTCAAATTAATCATTGTCATACATAAAAGAGTAAATATATCTTCCAAATGATATACATAAATGAATTGTTAATGATCTTATCTTTTGCTTCATCATCTTTCCTGCTTGATTAGCAACGAAAGTTTCGCTGAATGTAGTCTTGCAGTCATAATCAGAAATGCAAACTTCGGCTGTTACTAATGTTAAGTGTATTAAGCTTGTCGATAGTTTTGAGCTTGATGTTATCTGTTCAATCGTTGGATTTAAATCAAAATGTGCAAATAGTCAGAGTTTTGATAAATATCTACACAATTGTGGTAATAATCCTTCGAAACTAAAATTGATGGGTACAGAATATCTATCATAAAAATCAAGAATATATTGATAAATATGTCTACGATTACGATTGTCAATTAATATTAAACATTTTACACCCTTTTTTTAATAATTGAAAAAATGATGTTATCTCATTACTTAATGTTTGTTGTTTTCTATTTTTAATTGGTTTGACTGAACGAGAATCTTGTGACACCTTCACAGTAGGTAACTGTTGCTCACAGAATTCATTAAAAAAATATAGTTGAAAATAATTTCTTAATATCAATGTATTATTCTGATTTCCAACTGTGGAACAATTGATACGAGATATCACTTCAGTCGAAATGATCGACCTATGGCGTAATAAGTTGTTGAATACGGTTGTTTAAATTGTGAAATGAATAAAGTATTTCTACATCATGTAAGTAACTAAAAACTAGAAACCATAATTCATTTGGTAATCGTTTCATTGTCGTTTTTTGTAATGAATTTTTCATAAGACTATGAAATACATTTGGAAAAAATTGTTGAATGCGTCATTCTTGTGTCAATAAACACTAGTCTTATTTTTTTTATAAATGATTTCATTAAAAAGAGTAACAGAGACAATTTGTCTTCTTTTTCTTTGTCGTATTGAAATGAATTATTGTTAGCTGTCTCCACAAAATAGTTTAATACAACACTTTTTTCACGCATTGAGACTATTAAGTATAGATGTCATATCGAGAGAACAGCTTGCCAGAGTAAGCTTGAGAAGCCTAAGATGTGGAAATCATTACGAGATAGCACACCAACAAGGGTGTGAGTGTGGGTACAGCTTCGTGTGATTGTTACCCACCCCGTTAGTACGTTGAAAGTAATCGTTATTTCAAAAGAAAGTTTCTATGGGAAAACATTCAAGTGGAAAATTAAACTATGCAAAAAAAAACTATATTATTTTCGTCTACTAGTGTATGCAGTTCTGATCATGAAACTCTCTTTCCTTTTCTTACTAGAAAGTCGATCTACTTTCCTGACGTTATTTTATTTGTGCTAATAAAAAGAATATGAAATACATCATAAATATTTTTATGGATCTCATTTTCAAGTTGAACTTATTTATGTTTAATAATATGTGGATGTGCGTAGGTGCAGGTATGAATCTTTTGTTCATTATAACTCATATCTATACTTATCCAGACCATTTGTTTATAGAATTTCAATTAGGGTTTCAAAGTTCTTGTTCTTGAACATTCCGTTCTCATGGAGCAAGAACAAATCCTAAACTATGTTTCCTGATATTATTATATATAGCGAGGTGTTTATGTGCCTTTCTCTATCTTTTGATTTATGATTTTTACTCATTTCAGTTCACCTATGAATAGAACACGAAAATGACACTCATAAGATGAGCTATCAAGATTAAAAACAAAAATTCTTATACAAATATAATGTTTTTTTATAGCGAAAAAATGCGGCTATTAAAGGTTATTGTTTTCGTTCAAAATAATAAAGCATTTACCTATAGATCTAAAAGCAATTTTTAGGTTATGCATCAGAGAACTCAAATGGTTTCTCACTCTTCAAGATCTATCTATAGTATTTTTTCATTATTTCAATTACATTATTTATTTTCGATGATTGTCTATCATCAGAAATATGAAAGAGAATATTTTAGATGATTTATATTTGTTTGATGCTGATCTTGATGAATGGATACAATATAGAATACAATTTGTTGCTAAAGAATGAGCGAAAAACCGAAGTTATCATTCAATGGTTAGTAGTACTGATCAATCATCTGTTTTTGCTTATTGTAGTACAGAAAATCGTTAGAATATTTTATACTAATATAACACAGGTATTTTTTGTTTATTACTAAGAAAATCACTTTTCTTTGAATTTAAGAGTTGGAAACGTAAGTTTTTTTTTCGCGTGTTCGTATCAAAAATCAAATATGTATTCTTTGTTAAGAGTATGACTTCCAGTTAATCCTTATATTAAGTCCAAAAATTCTAAGCTGACTATAAAATCGAAGACGAAAATATATATGACTTATTTCTAGAATCTAATGTCTAGCATATATTCGATCTTCATTGCCATTGGGTCATACAATTGATATTTCTTTTTTTCTTCGTGTTTTGTGCGCCCATGTTGAAAATGACATGTTATGCGAAGTACACGTGCAATTTTCTGTTACTTCCATAAATTGCCACATGAGTTTATTATTTTGGATTTTTTTTTAAACTGATTTCTACATGAAACAAATTAAACTATCACGAAGTAACATCACTAATGGTTACACTGATAGGAAAATGAAAATGAAAAAGAATAAACAATAAAAGTAATATTTTATTTATTTATGTGATTATATATTTTGTTTATATATATATCTCCGTCTTGTTTGTTTTTGTTTAACAAAAGAGAACGTTACTATTTTTGATGATCTCTGAAATAAACTTATCTGTAAAATATTTCGTTTACTTGCATTATAGAATATCTCGACGCCAACACTAAATATGTTCCACAACTATGTCATTTATCATTTGGTTCTTATATAGATATGGAAATAGTCGAACAAACGGAAACTCGATTATGTTAGATTATTTGGCAAACGTGTTTCTCAAATTGTCTTCTGTCAGTTTTGATGATTTTGAAATATGGATTGTATATTTTTTCCATCAAGTTCAAGTTTGACGTATTACGCCATACTCTATTCGACATTTCAGTTTTGGTACAAAAATATTCAACGCTGATCGATTGGAGCAGATTAATCTCACCTTATATGCCAAATCCATATATGTATGAATCATTTCTTGAGAACCGACGAAATGTAGTTTTTTTTTGTAGCATACATTACACATTATTACTATGAGAAAGTAATAAAAATAATGACGCGAAACGGTCACAAATAATGCCAAAAAATGGTTTGTGTTATAAGCATTATTTCGTAATTTTTTCAAGCCATTTTCTTTGTTCGCAAATAATTATTTTAATACATTACATGAAAAGAATTTTTTGACATTATTTGGGATCATTTCGCATCATGATTTTTATTACAATTTGAAGGCATTTTATTATTTTTGTCTTGACCTGAGATCAATTTTCGCTAAAGAATAGATCCACAGAAAAATGTCCTTGAACGAGCACTCTCTATCAAAATTCGTTCTGCAATTCATTCGTCCGCTATGACCAATGAAGTATATATATATCATACTAATGTGGGCGATAGAAGGTTACCAGTAATAGATCCATGTTCTTATTTATCACTGCAGGTGTTTTTTCTCTAAGATTTTTGTCTTTTTCTTAACTAAGGAATGTATATGATTGATTGGTTGATATGAAGTTTCGTCTAACTTATAGAAATACCCAATTTTGATCTGTCGATTTACTCAAGTATGAACCACGTATAATTGATCTTGGAGTAGTGCAGTGAAACGCACGTGAATAGAATTCATTTCGATCATGTTTAAATTAGCTTCATAATAAAGACTTTCTCATATAACAAACAACGATAGGAAAGATATTCTTGTCATGGCTGTCAGCTCTGATAGATTTCATCTCGTTCTTAATCTGTTCTATGGTGGTTCTTTCGTTTTGTACAATTTTTCACCAAGTTTATCATATATTCTAGATAGTTCATATCAACAATAGAAAATGAATTCAGCATTTGAGTCTCTTTCAACCGAACTATTATTTGAATTCTTTGATTATTTATCCCCATTCAATTTATTTCGAATTTTCATCAATCGCAATAGTTGTTTAAATGCCATTGTTAATTCATGTCCACTTCGATTGGATTTTCCACCAATCTGTCGATCAAAATTCGATTTTATTTGTCATCATCTTCAACCAAAACAAGTTATTTCATTGATTGTTGGTGATTATTACCCAAATTACATTAGCGAAAGTGTTAACTCATTTAAAAATTGATAGTAAAGATTTACAGCATCTTATTGACATTCGCTTCCCAGCTCTTAAATATTTGATTATTAGTGGAGGATGTTATTATGACGGTGAATATATCGATGTGTCTTTTCCATTGAAGAATACTGATGTTCATTCATTAATTTACCAATGGTAATGTTTTTTCACTCATCTTTATTTTGTTATCGATAATAAAAGTCAATATTCGACGTTTAATCTTGATCGATTTTCTCATTGTCTCACTCATCTTACATTACACTTTTACCAAGGTAAAGAAAACTAATGAAAAATTGATTTTCATTTTTGATCTGATATTGTAACTATTCAAGTAAGATTTGCATGTCTTGAACAATGTCTGATTAAATTGTCTCAATTAACAAATTTCACTTGTCAAGCAAGTGGTTCATGGGATTTAATCGATGGAAACAATTACTTTTGAAAACACGAATTGTTCGATTTAATTTCAAATTCAAATTTCATTAATATTGGAACCATTTCGTTCATCATTTTGGCTTGAACAACGACATTGATATGTCGGATGTTATCAAGATGAATCCGATAGAGGCACAATTGTCTATTCAATACCACGATTTCGAATATGTACACTTAAGTATCCTTCAGATAAATTTTCACATATGATAACAGTACCATCGAATATTGAACAAAACTTTTTCTATTCAAGCAGAATCAATTATTTCTCTTGTGATATGAATAAATTAATTACACCAATCGGTTATTATTTTTATCAGCTTAAGGTGTGGGTGTGGGGTGTGGCTGTCGATTGAGAGAAGACTCACACTCGCATACACATCATCGACACCCACACCCACCCACACCCTTCTTTAGAATATGAGTGTCATTGTTACAGATTCGCTAGTTGTTATTTCTCTAAAAAAAAGATTTTCTCATCAATATTCTGTCGTTTATATGTTTATGATAAAGGATCAGTAACTTGTATAACAATAATATGAAACAAAAATGTGATCGACGGTGAGAATATGCCATTATTTCAGTTTTTTTTCAACTAATTATTCTAATTTGTACAATTTTATTGAGACATTAAATGAGGGAGTTTACCCTTTAAATTGATAAATGTTATCGCTAAAGTGAATATGGCAAACAAATGAAACAATTAATAATGACAGATAAACCAAAAACAATTCTTCTTTATCTTCGAGATATTAGAAATTAAAACAAGTTTGTTCATTTCAGATTAATTTTTTAGAGTGTGTTAGCATGTAGAAAATGACTTCTTTTAGGATGGCTGAATTCTTCGTCACATGAATTTCCCACCAATCATATTCAATCTTTGTGTTCATGAAGTAATTATTAATAGGTCGGCATACATATCCGACGGTGAAAAAAGTCTGTATTTCCATGATCTATATAAAGAATGAATATATCAATAGGATTTCATTTAGCATAAAAAAAATTAAATAAACGATTGTTAAACTTAAAAACATTAAGTGTTCATAGATGAATAAAGGCACAAAACGTGTCGTTAATGATATTGGTAACTATTATCTCTCTATTCAAATATTTAAACCAAACATTTTATTGATTATTATAGAATTTGATTCATCATTAATGAAACATGTTCGTTATAATGTAACTTGTTTACTTGACTTACCAGATGAAATGTTTCTTCTAATATGTCGTTATCTGACACCAGTTGGTGTTCTGTATTCATTTTATACTCCTGAAAGAGCTGAATGTCGTCTTCATCGTATTATTTCTGATTATTATACAAAAATAAAACTTGATAGAATAACAAATAATGGATTTATGTATTTAGCAAATTTATTTGCTTATTCAACAATTCCTCTTCGACCTCAATCATTGACATTAAGTAATGAACATGTAACTTGTTTAATACAACGTTATTTTAATGATATGAATATAAATACAATCAATTCAATTTTTACCAATCTGAGATCTCTAACATTAATTAATTGTTTTTCAGTTGATCTTGATATTCTTGCCAAATTTTATTTGAATATGACACAAATTGAATATCTTCATATTACTTTTCGTAGAATTAGGGATGATATGAGTAAGTACAAGAGAGAAATTTTCTCATCACAAAATAAAGAAAAATATTTTTTATGATAAAATTTTACTTTTATTGCCCCGACGAGCAAAAAAGGGGGTAGGACGAGCGACATATCTAATCAGAAACATCAGCATATTTGTCCTGTCTAGTTTAAAACATATTGTGTAGAAGTCAGGACTAGTCTACTTAGCATGAAGAATCATACTTGAATGTCTAGACTAGTCGAATATTTCTAAAATTCACATCCAGACGAGTTTAAACTTGTCAAACAATTCTTTTGCTTGAACTTAATCATTCGAATAACTCTTCAGACTGGTTCGCGTAGGAAGTAGAAAGATAAATAATGTAGTGCAAGACATTTTTGAACATTTACATTATTTCTTACAGTGATTGATTGACAATTAGATAGCTTTAGACTATAAACCAGATAGTAAAATAATCATCATTTTGGCATTATTTTCAATAAGAAGAGTTTTTTAAACTCACCGTAACTTCAAGAGTTCACTGCATATAACGTTATATACAACATGCAATTTTGACTGCTCTATACGAAAACGTAACAATCGAGCACATTTACAGAGAGATAAATTTTGTCTTTCCACATTAAAACTACAAAAATATATTGAAGCACAGATAAGCACATAAAAATATATATAACAGCTGTTTACATCTTAATTAGAGTTGCCTATTTGTGTCTTTTAAAATTTTCAGATTGTACAAAAAGAAAATTAAAAATAATTTTATTTGAAAAATTAATTTTAATATGTTTATAGAGTGGGGTGTGGGTGTGGCTCTTCTCTTCACTCAAAATCCCAGCCAGACCCACCCACACCCACATCCACACCCACACCCTACATACGGCTGCAATCTGACAGATGTACCGTCACGGATGCTCTTCCTTTTTTAATTCAAAATCTATTTTGTACGGACATCCAAACGGCGCAGCAACTCTAGTCTTTTTCTGAAAAAGGACTAGACATAACCAATAGATTGATGCCAGTCAATTACATTGTCAAGATCATGGGCTAAAGACTCTAAACGATTTTGAACTAGTCATGGTGGTAGAGAACTTTTTGAGAAACCACTAGACGCCACGTGTAGTCACAACTAGAAAAACGACTAGTCTTTTTGTCCGCTCTTTACTACTCGCCTGGGTGAATAAATTCTTGTATTTTTCACAATGGATTTTAGTGAACAAATCAATTTTCTAATTTTCTGTTTAGAATTTCGTGTGAGAGAAAGATGTGATGCAACAATCAATCAATTCTTATTTAATAAACAAATCTCTTCTTTACATCAAGTTATCATTGATGTACCAGATGGACTTGCATTGCATAAAACATTAATACCTAATCAATATCTTAAGAATATTGATTTAGTTGTGGAAACTGTCGATGATTTATATGTATTACTTAGTGGACTTGTACCGAATATAGAAAAAATGATTATTCGATTACGTCGATCACGAATACTCTGTAAGTATTCGATTCATCTATTGATACTTTTGAGATTTGTTCTTTCAATTAGAGAAAGTCTTTTTTGTCAAAAAAATTTCAATACTAATATTATAGTGATGGATGTCGGAGGACAGTCGATCGTCTTTTGCTTACGAAATTTCCGATTTTTCGTAGCAGAAAAAGGCCAGCAGTGACGTGACCAGATATCATCTCTAATAAACTTTTTATAATCTGTTTTTAATCACTATAGACTCCATTCTAAAATCTGTCGACCGAGTTCGGTTGCATCACCAATCTGACAGTTGCCACTCTAAAAGTAAGAGCCAATTATAGCTTGATTCTTATGAAATCACCATCAAGTTTCCATGAGAAATGTATAGGGTGTGCTAGCCTTTAAATACAAATTCTCATATCTTCGGAGCTACTATCAAATGAGGATTAGAAAATTGCATCGAGAATATAATGAATACCGAAGTGTTAATCTGATTTTGTAGCTCGTCTTCGTCCTCGAAGTTTGGCATCATATCTTCGATTAACTGAATTTACATTACTGGAAGCTGGTATTGGATTTATTAGTGATGATATTAAATCTATTCTTGGTTATATGAGAGTTTTATTGAAATTAACATTAAGTATTCGTGATACATCTGATCCAACGTTTTGTCATGGTGCCAAATTTGAATCAATATTAATTGAATATTTACCAAATCTTTGTCAATTTGATTATACAATGACACATAGAATTGGAAATGAAACATTATTTCAAGATTTTATTGTATGGCCAATGAATGGCGTTTTTTATGAAGATGAAAATTGTGAATGGGTACATATCTATTCATTACCATGGCCATCAAATAAATATGATAATCGAGAATTACCTATTGTAAAAAATCAATGTAATACATCAGTTACATCAGATGTTACACAAGATGAATATATAAAAGATGTTATGATTACAAAACCGGATGAATTATTTGAATTGAGGACACGTTTTCGTCATGCTTTTCAAATAAGAACATGTTTATCAATTGATACAATATTGACATCACGAATTTCTAATGTGATTCTTACAGAACAAACTCGTAAGATAATTTTATCAAATAAAAAATATGAAAAAACAGATCTTGATTAATTTATTTCAGGTATAACTTCAATGAATTCCATGATCCAACCTTTTGTTCGTCATTTAATAGTTGAATGTCGTTTAAATGATGAAAGAGAAATTTATCTTCTTGCTCGTCAATTTCCGCATGTTGAATATTTAAAATTATTATTTCCATTTGAAAAATCTTCATTTATTCGTTGTTTTCAAACGTTATTTAGTGTTGATGAAAGTATTAATGCGAATCGTCGTCTTTGGCGTAAATTAATAAACGTTTCAATTGAATTCTCTAATAACGAATTAAATCTAATATTAGACGATAATGATTTTCATCGTTGGCTTATTAGAAATACTGATTTCAAATTTGTTTCATCCAGGTTTTATCTTAATTATCTCAATACAATCCTTTCTATTTGGTTTTGATATTTGAACATTACTGACAAAAAAGACTTTTTCAATTTGTTATATTAAATCAAACATAACTAATCTTGAAAAAAGCTTTCATCGATATAATCATTATTTTATACGAATCTTTATTGACAAATAAACTTATCCTGATTGAATCTGTTTTTGCATGTGTACACTTCAAGATTTGTAGATAGTACATGAGTTTCTTTCTACAGTCAAGTGCTTGAATGCTTGCATGAATTCTGCGTACAGATTAAGTGATTCATGCGCTGAACTCATGAAAATTCTACGCATGAGTATCCTTGAAATGATCAAAGAATTATAGCTTTTCTGTTCAAGACAAAATAATGATCCTTGGCTTTCATGATATCAGAATCTACAGCGAGTGTTAGCATTATTCAGCCACTCTGCTATATGTGTTGGTTATTTTTGTGCCATTCTAAAACGAGCTAAACGGCTGGCCTAAACACATTCTATTCAGTAGAGTTTGTTACAACTCTATGTGCAAAAATTGTTATCTTCAAATATATTTTCATCCGTTTTTAGAATAAAGATAAAGATGGCCCTGAGTGAATAATTTTGACATTCAATGTAGATACGCCCGTGTAGATCAGGCTTTAAATGGAATGGGATGGGACGGATTGTTCAGCCCATGTGATTTCCTTTTTTTTTCATGGAAAAAGCAAGTTCTTTTTCGTTAAAATATAAGCTTAAAGTGTTTTTTAGAAAAACGATGGGGAATAAAAATTTTTATACTCTCGTTGTCGCTATTTTTTTCCTAACTTTCTTGTACTTTTTTTCTGAAAACATTTTTAATCGTTTTACAAAAGTTTCAAGAATAAAAACTAAAACTATTTCTATGATCCGCTCGGTATTTCTAACTTAAAAGAAGAAGCAAATCTTTGGGTGGGTGTGTAGATGTGGGCGTAAATGCGTTTGGGCAGATGTAGGTGTATAAAAGATTACGTATTCACGTCCACACCCATATTGATGAGAATAGTTTTACAAATAGAAATATTTAGCTAATTTGATTTAAATGACATTGATTGTAGTAATTTCTCAATAATACAATGAGAGAGAAATCTGAGAAATTTCATGTGAATTCTTAGTCAGTTTCAACTTCTGAAATCGTTGAAACCCGATCTTTCCTACTTATTTTATCCTTCCAGAAGCAGTATTAACAGAAATTGTAGAAGACCAATAATAAAAACGATTGCCAACGTTGCATCTTCTCGTATCAATCTTATTATGGATAAGAACATCATGAGATAATTTGAGTGATTGTTATTTTAGAAGCCATACCTTTACATCACAGTTTGTGAAAATTCGAAAACAGAAAGAAGAAGCTTCTTAGAACATACTAATTCTAAACTAAATATGAAGAGTTTGAGAATAGGTAGATGTGGGTTTGGATGCAGGTGTGAGCGAGGATGTGGCTGTTGCTTTGAATAATGAGAAGCCTCACACCCTAATCAACGTAGATTTTGCACTTAACGTATTGACCATCCTACCGACAGATAATTTATGCTCGAATGGAGGGAGGATATATGTTATATTGTGCGATAAGAGATGTGGGAGTCCCGAAAATTTCACCTACGAGAGTGTGTTCAAATCGATCAAAACTATCATTTCGTGATTTTGAAATAGCTTTTTATTCTACTGATGAAAAAGAAAACGGAATAAAAAACAGTACAACATTATTATACACAGAGAGAAAGAGATTGCAGTCATATAGTTTTATGAAATGAATGAATGACCTTTTCGATATCACATGAGATGCATTATGATGATTATTCACTCAAAATAAGCATTATGAAATTGAGCTATTTCCCGTAAGATTGATGTTTGAATAAGAAAACTTCGAGAATTATTTGTCACATCTTTCCATATTGCCATACCCTAAAAAAATACATTTAAAAAATAATCGTTACCTTTTTAGATTAAAAATAATAAACATACATCTGTACGCAAATTAGGAAATGATATGTCTGAATCATAATGAAAATTCCATACTTCTGCTTCTGTCCAAGCATTATCTGTATTGCGCAGATCATCAATATATCCTAAAATAATAATAATAAATAAATTAAAAAAATTTACAAAAAATATTCTTCGATTAACCTCGATAAACCATATAAGATGTAAATCCATCTCGTACAGCAGTGCTGAACGACGAACGAGAAAATGATTGAAAATACTAAATAGAAAATTAATTCTAATTGTATATCAAAGAAATCAAATTAGAAAATTTTACTTCAATCATATCTTTTTCTTGTACTGATAAATTCTGTTTAGAATCATAATCTTGAAAAGCAAGTTTATTAAAACTACGACATATAGCACTATATGGAGATTCAACACCTAAAATTTTTCCCTAAAAATAAAAAAACATTTCTAATTTTTTTCGAAATTAAAACTAGAAAAACAAAATATACTCCTGGTAATTTCCAATTACTGGTTAATTTATGTTTAAATACTAAAGCTTCTAAAATTCTTTGTCCATCAATAATAGCAATTTCACCTAGATGTCTTTTCCATCGTGTTATTACAGCCATAATAGATTTATTTGGTCCCCATCGAATTAATGCACCACGACCACGTGCACCTGTACGACCCATTGGATTCCTGTATTCATAGAAAATATTCATATTTAAATATATAGAATTTCTTATATATTCATATACAAAGGTATTGATAAATGAGGATCTAATTGATAAGTGGGAGATGTGTTATCTTCAGAACTTGTTATCCAAGTTGTTCGATCAATAATTATCTGAAAATATGAATTTGATGATTTCATTTGAAAACAAAACATAAACAAAGACCTTGTTTCCATTAGATAACTGTAATTCAACTGTTTGATTCCATTTGAAGTCTGTAAATGGAATAATAATATCATTTGTTACTGGTTCTTCAATAGATTCATATAAGTCTGATTGATCTAGAGGAACTGATGGTGTAGCATTTGTGTCATCACCAACTGGTGATTCATCTTCATCATCATCAACAAGATCAGCATGATCATCATCAGAAATTGATTTTATTCTGAAATAATTTTCATATTTATTTATTTAACTAAATAAAATAAAACTTACATATCGGGTTCAACAAATGGCCGTTCACTATCTTTAAAACAAACGTGTTCTTTTGGTAACGAAATTACGATTGGATCATATAAATCAAATTGAATCTAAACATTTTTAGATTTTTTTAAAGTTTATCTCAAATAAAAACAAAAGCTAAAAAAGAAGAAGTATTAAAAAAATAACCTTCCAAGAAATATATCTTTCTGTAACTGGAAATCGTGGTTCATTTGTATAAATATATGGTGATTCTCTTGATAAAATATGAGCAAATTTGTCAACCTTTGGTAACGATTTATTTCCTCCTTGAATTGCTGAACGAATTTTTTCAATTAATATATGTAAATCAATCATTAATCTGTCTAATGAGCCAACATGATCATTGATTTGTCGTAATGATTTCCGTTGTACATTGACATCTTTTTGTATATTTGTTATACTAAAATTCATTGTATAAACTTTTAATAAAATAAAGAAAAAAAAAATACAAAGGCGAATTTCACTTTACCAATTTGATAAATTATCAATTTTTTCTTGTACTTTATCAGCTTCTTGTGTTTTAGCATAATATTCTGCAGCTTTATATTTCCAATATAGATTAGCTTCACTATCTTCCGTATTATGATTCTGTATATTCTAGAATAAATTATATTCAATTATCAAGTATAGAAAAAGCTTTATTCTATATACATTTTTATTTTTTTTATTTTCTGTAACTATTTTACATAGTTTACAACCAAGACAACGTCCAATTAATGAAGGATCTTGAATTATTTCAGTTGATGGATCCATAAAACCATCTGTATTATTATCATGATTATCTGTTGCTGAAATAAATCGAGTAATAAATTTCGATTATTAGTAAGATATTTATTGTTAGAATAAAAATATGAATACCTGTTGGTGAAGATTGTGTACGAATTCGACATGTAGCAGAACTTCTTTTATCAGAATACTCTTTGGCTTTTAGAATGCAACGACGACAACATATTTTTATCAACATAACTATTATAAAAAGCAAAAAAAACAAATCTAAATTTTAAATTTTGTTGTAAAACAAGTTTCAGATAGAGACTTTTCTTCTTAGTTATAACAGATTTGACACTACGCATAAAGAAAAGATTTAATCCATAATGTAAATGAGTTATAAAATAATTCATTAGAATTTCTATGAAAATCTATAAAGATGTATTAATAATTTTTATGAGTTTCTTGAAATAAAAATATCTTTTGCGTGATACTCTCCATGATGTAATGAATCACATATCATAATACCGATCTACTAATGATAGTAAACCTTAATATTCTGATACTTCTATTGTTTTTTTTCCTAATATTTATTAATCTATTTGGAATGTTTGAATCTCGTTTGAACTTATCCTAAACTAAAACTGACTTTCGAACTAAATTTTTGCCACAAAACAGGAATGAATTTCAGAAATGTATAATCTACTTACGAAAGATTCTCTTCAAGCGTCCTTTTCCAATTTCAATGGTTTTTTTATCCATAGATATTACATAATGTTCTAATAGAAATCTAAATCCTTTTGGTGTTTTTATTAGAAAACTATATAGTATCTATAGACAAAAAGAATCCTTGTGAGGAGATTCCCTCGTGAGCTTTTGGTGGAATAAACTAAGAAGTATGACAATTTTTCAAATTTATAACACTACAAAAGATAAATCATCGTTCATATGTTTTTGGCTGAAGAGTTCAGTGTAAGGCTAAAAACGTTTTTTAATATCTCCCAATGAAAATTTTGTCTTTTTCTTTCTCTCAAAATGTACATAAAGTTCTATTACAAATATAAGAAATAACAACAAAAGGCGGTGGTAAACGTGGTCGTTTAGCATATTCCATAACAATTTCATATCGATTGTACATCCAGATTTGTTCAGATTGACTTTGTACTCTTGCTCCGGTTAAACTAATTTAACGAAAAAAAAAGAAAAGAAAAATACTTCAGTTATCTGAATTAAATCAATTTCATCTCAATTAATATACCTAAACAGAGCTGTTAAAAGTCTTGTAAGAAATATTTTAGTTAAGAGGAAATATTGTATAAGTAAAACCCATGCTATCCATGATGGTTGATTGCATTTTGGTGTTGATATTCCATATCGGTTATATGCATAAATATTATCATCTTGAAAAAAAGAAGTTTTTTTTTTCTTAATTTAAAAGACAAAATATTCTTACAACTAAATGAAAGACCATGAGATAATCCATGACAAGCATGTTCTTTTTCTGTAGAACTTGTTGCATTTATTGAACATGAATGATCTTGATGTCTTAAATCAGTCATTTCATTAGTAAATAATGCCATTAAGCCACGAAATACAAAAACTCTTGAAAATAAATCTGCATTGAGTGGATGGTGTGGATAAAGTACACTTGTTATTGCAACGGCAGATGATATCATAAATATTATAAATAATTGTAAAAATGTAACAAAATCATCCATTATCTATAATTATTATATTATCTCACAAAAACTAGGCAAAAAAATTAATAAAGAAATCACCATATATCGAAGTCGAATCATCATCGGACCAAGCGTTGGGCTTATCGGTAAAAATGTATATAATATTCGATAATAATAATAAATTAATCCGAGGCCTAAGATTGCTTTTGCTGATAAAATGTGACAAGCTATTTAAAAAGGACAAGAAAAAACAACTTATTTGAATTATTTTCCTCTCGGATTTTTGACTTACTTCCAATAGTCCATAAACCAATAATTCTAATACCAAGATAAAGTGCCAGGAATATAATTTGTACGATAACTTCCAATACTGCTTTTTTCAAAGGTAAATTACTTTGAGACTAAAATTTCAAATGATTAAATTCTTTTAATTTTGTCTTTGTTAAATAATCTTACGCAATATTTTTTATAACAAACACGTGTATTTTCAAAAGCAATCGATGTTGCCCAAAACCAAACAATAGAATCAAGTAATATATTTCCACACGATGGCCACATCACAGCCAATGTAAAAAAGCATAAAAATGCAAGATAGGCAATAAAGTTAGTATAAAATTTCGTTATTGGTGCTGACCATAAAACATAGACTTCTTCAAAATGACTCAATTCTTTTCTATCAGATTTCGATGCACTTGATGTAGTTTTTTGTGTTTTTGAATTATCACGACAAGAATAAGATCTTATTCGTTGAAAACAACCAATCTAAATATATACATTTAATATAAGTCGGATCGAAATTATACTAATCAACAAAATTATAACTTCCTCATGTCACTATGTCAAACTTGTTTTAAATCAACTAGATATATAATAACTATTTACTAATTCATGGTATTATCATCAGAATACATATGTATTTACATTTAGTTTTTGTGAAACGCGTGCTGAGAAGGATTATATGAATCGACAGTTTCTATTGACAAATTCAGCCAAAGAACGAAATCCTTTTGTCAAATCATTATGGAAGAAAATTGAATTTAAGATATCTATCTTTGACTTATTGTGACATATTTCAAATAACATTTGACACATTTTATAATCCTAGTTCACATTTTATAATTCTACAGAGATTGTGCTAACAGCTTTTCATTTTCAAAATCACATATATCATCCCTACAAAAAAAAAATTTCCGTCACATCAAAAATAGAATTTTTTTATTAGTTTATATATGGTCGTAGATTTATTCTGACGACCGGAAGTTCTGTTTATGCTGCGATTTAAAAATTATTTAAATACATAGTAGCTTTCAGAATTCGTTATATTTCGAAAGTTTTTTCAGATATAAATGTAAATTTCGGTATTCATGATATAAAATGGCGAGATCAATAATGAAGATGAGACAAATACTTAGTTGCTGATAAAAGTGAAGAGTAAATTAACATGGAAAAACTAGGTGAGAATATCAAATAGTACATCCGCACCATGACTTTACTTTATTCTAATCAAAAGATACATCATATACAACGACAGATACATCTACGAATTTGAATTAATTCAATACATCTCAAAAAAGCTTGATGGTACATCATAGTTTACGTCGTTATCATATGATTATTCTTATGACGTCTGTTGAATTTATTCATTTTTTAAATAAGTTTTACTGATGTAATCTATACCAAACTACTACTATGCAAAAAACAATGGAACATGTTAAATTTTAAAGAATCTAATTAAGTGAAGTCTTTGTTTGACCTAATGTGAATTAGATTTTCATAAGAATTTGCTCATGTATCGACCTTTCTCTTTTTCCTACACATGTGATGTCCAAGTGTTGCTTAAATTAGAGCATAATATTCTACAAAACTTAGTATTGTTGGAATAGATCTATGGCCATATAAACTATTAACAAAATGCTATTTTTGATATTTCTAAAAATTTTCCATCCAAGAAAAATGATACATAGATTTTTAACATATAAAATTAACTGTAAATATGTTTAAATACTCTGATCATAGATGGTTCAACGTTTTGAATCTAGAGTTGGCTCGGCACTAAAAGTAATCGAATTTGAACTAGTCGATATTTTTTAGTACCGAAACCAAACCTGAACTCTCAGATTGTTTGGGTTTGAGTTTGGAGTTAGGCACATATCTAATCAAAAGGTGTGCACTTAAAGGTGGGCGAGGGGGGTATGAAGCAAAACTGTTCGAAAAAAAAAGAAATTATAGTTTAAGCTTATGTTAGCCATTAAAGGCGAAGGAAACTTTCAGTAATTTTAGTTTATCTAATTCGAATTTTTGGTATCACTCTTCTTAAGTTATTCCAAAGTGGTACTATTTCAAGTGATTGGCAATGTAGGACCTAACATTTAATCATACTAAGTTAAATATTTCCTCAAGAGCGATTTTATAAAAATTCCGATACATTATATAAATTTATTAATCTGACAGAATGAGAAACAAACGTTTGAATCTACAATCCTTGAATCTCAAGTAAATTCTAAACTATTCAAACCTCATCACTCTGATTATAATACCTGAAATAATTGAAAAGTATTGGATACTTAGTCTGCTGATCTAATATAACTTTGACGCATTAATGTGAGAAAAATCTTAGTTCGTTCATCGATATAGAATTGGTAGAATATATAGAATATAATGATAAATGTATTAATAAAATACATACTTCTTCTTCTTCTTCATTGCTAATTTCATCAACATGTTCAGCTAATTTTTTAGTTTCTAAATTCAATTTAGTTTTTGATTAGAAATTTAAAAACATTTTATGAACATAACTAACCGTCAATATTTGGTACTGGTTTTGAACCTTGTTGTGCATCAGGCGGTAAGTCACTTGATTTTGTCGGTGTTGAAGGTGCTTGACCAATTGGAGAAAAATTTATCCAAAACCACATTGGAAATATCAAAATAGCACTAGATATAATCTATTCAATAAAGAATAAATATTCATGTCGTATTAATCAAATATTTTACTTACTTTAATAGAATCAGGACATCTAAATAATCCCCATGGAAGTTCACGTAGTGTAATTTCTCCGTAAAATTGTCTTGTAACCCATTTTTGGCAAGCAGCATGTGCCATAAAGTCTTTGTTGTGTGCATTATAAGCTAATTCAATAGTTGCCATATGACTCCAATCCTTGATTGAAAAATATTTTATTTCTTATGAATCGTTTTTTTTTTGTGAAAATTTTTACTGAATGTTTTTCATCAAGCATTTCAAATGTTCTCGTACTATCTTCATTGAATGCTTTATCAAGAACACCTAAAGCACAATCGGAAAATTCTCTAAAATAAATTTAAAAAGAAAAAGTTTCATTTATGACAAGAAAGAAACGAAAAAGTTTTTCTTCAAAATTTACTTTGCTTGTTTTTCTATTAATATTCTTTGATAAGCTTCATGACTATATGGTGCTAATTGTTTATACATTGTATAACAAAGTAATGCTAATGGAATTGGTTCAGATGAACGTTTCCAAAGAATTTTTGCTAATTGATGTCGATTCACTAATACAGCATAAATAATTAAATGTCGAAGAGCCTATTTTAAACAAAAAAAAAAAACATTCTTTGAAAAAACTAAACAAAACGAACAAAGAAATTTTACTTTTTTTTCTGCTCTTTTTTGTTGTAGTTCAACACCCTTAGCTGATTTATCACCAAAATAAATTCCCATTGCATTACAATCCATTTCATGTTTACAAAAAAAACTACTAATATCCGTTAAACGTTTAACAATTTTATTAAGATCCTTTTCAACGAAGTCTTTTGCCACTTCTTCATCATCCTATTTAACCAAAACGTAAATATAAAAGACAAGAACTCCTTCTCTTACTTACTCCTGAGTAACCAAGAATTCCTTCAATTGATGTTGTTGTGAAAAAATCTTTTTCTTTCGTATTATTGAATAAATCAAGTAATTTATCTGATTTTAAATATCGATGTAAAACAAAATCTCGATCAAGAAATAAATCCACAAAAGCTTCAAGTTTTTTTCCAAGTATAGCTTTATCAAATAATTCTGAGTGAATAGAGAATTTCATATTATCATCACGTTGAAAAATTTCTGATAAAGCTAAATCTGGTGTATTCCAATCGAGTGTTAATAAAAGATTTCGTTTTAATTGAAAATTAACTTTGCTGCCAATTAGTGGTTTTTGTGCTAAATTGAAAAAAATAAAAACAAAAGAGAATAAATATATATATGTTCATACATTGTAAAAGTGCTAAAAGAATAAATTTATGAAAATCATTTAATGGTGCTGTTGCACTATTAATATCAATAAATGTTAAAAATTTTCTGTTTTCTTGCTCTTTTTTTTTAACCATTGACACAATTGACATAACAAAATCACGAATTTCATTTCGTTTAGCATTATTATTTCTTAATAGAGGATAGTCATCAAGTATACGTCGAGTTAATTCAACTCTAAAGTAACTATCTTTATGTTGTTTTTCAATTCTAAACAAGATTAAAAATAAAATTTTATTTTTGAAATCAATCTTTTGTTTTTTTTACTTAGCACAAATTTCTTCATAAGCAAATGCAATAATATCAGTAGCTGTTCCAGTTCCTTTAACAAGAACAATAGGAACTTCATTTTGAATTTTTCTATATACACGTTCAATAGTTCCTGGTGTACCACGAGCTAATGTGCATACCATTGGAAAACCACCGTCACCCCATGGATTAGATTTATTCGATGTTAGTGTTGCAGCATCTAAATGAAATCAATGAAATTTATTTTTTCTATACAAATTTTATTTATACCAGTTGTTGTTGGTGGTGGTGGTGATTCAACGGAAGATGTGGTTCGTCTTTGTGATTTTTCTTGGCATAGAAAATTTTCGAAACGATCACGAAATTTATTTGTAGCACTATCAGCTGAATCAGTAATTTTTTCTAACTGTTTTTCATCAATATCAATTATAACATTTTTTTTTACTGAATTATTTATTGAACTAGAACCAATCGGTTCTTCACGAATTACAATAAAATGTGTATGATCACTGTTTAATGATAATTGTCCACGTTTACGCATTGGCACTTTTACATCCTATTGAAAATTAAATTAAATTAAAATAGAACGATCAAATAAAATTTTCTTAAACCTTTTTTGGTATCTCTTGTGCTGGTTTGAATTTGATAAAATCTTTAATTTCATCATCGCAAACAATTCCAATTAAAATTAACTTTTTACGTTTTTTTGGGTCGCGACCCATGCCTATTGCCCATGCATCATCAGCTTGTCTGAATGACTATGTTTGAATAAAAAAAAATAAATAAATAATAAATTTTTTAAATTTTTTCAAAAAAAATTTCATACAATTTCATCTCGAAAAGCAGATCCAATTAATTGTGGCAAACCAAGATCAAAACCATTTGTTATAAACCATATTTCCGAGGCATTTACAGTCTAAATTAATCAATATTTTAAGTTGTTTTTTGTTTGAAATATATACAACTGTTTTCAAAAACAAAAAAAGAATATTTTAGAAAAACTTTATGTTTTATGAAATAATTCTAGGCTTCATTTTTTTCAGGAGTTGTTCGTTGTCAAGTAGACAAAGGAATGACTTAGCAAAAATGCCATTGGTTTTGTTTTGCATATTTAAAAATTAAATAATATTCTCAATTCTGACATTACTACTATCTATTCATATGACATTATTGAAGTAATACTGTTACATTATTTTGCGTTCGCGATGTGTGAAACAAAGATTCTCATGGAAACTTCTTCTTCTTAATATCAATAAATTTAAACTAATAATTTGAATTAAATATTGAAGGAAAGTTGCTCGATAATGTCACCTTATTATGAAAGAAAGACAAAGAATTGTTGATTAATATATTCGTGGTAATAATCAGGTATTACGGAACGAACTAAATGAGAACGCATAGACAGTAAAAAAAGAGACGTAGTATTCTTAAGCTATTTATTCCTTTCTTTTAAATGAAATTCCGAAAAAAATACTGTTGATAAAATGATCATAACCTCAAATGTATCAGTAAAATTAATAAACAATTTATCAATGATAATACGTCTCGAGCAATGAACTGATCAGTTGAACAGCTTGAATATAAATCAAGTATACAACTTTTAGCCAGGAGTTAAGCATAAAGTTGAAAATTTGAAAATAAAAAAAAAAACTATTAAACAACTCGTTTTGGTTTCTAATAAAAGAGTTTTGAAATGTTCATTTTACAATACGGATTAAAAAATAGAATACCAACGTATTTTTGATTTGTTTCTAAGAATATGATCTTGAACAGCATAAAATTTTAAAAAATGAGAAACTATCGGATATTCCTATGGTCTTCCCTTAAAAAGTTATAAGCATCACAAACATGAAAAACCACAAAATTAGCTGAAGAACATTTTTTTTATTCTTTTGTGATGCTTATAAATTTTTAAGGTTAGGTTGTAGAAAATGCAGTGATCCTTCATTTTCAAGAGACAAAAATTCAAAATACATGGTTGCTAAATTTTTGACCGATACTGTAGTGTAGTAAAAAATTGTTTGTTGTCTATGAAAGAGTAATATTTTTGTTTTCTTGTTATTCTTTCCAAAAGTAACGTTAGATTTAATTTTGACCGTCTATTGCTTGAGAGATAAAATAATGAAAATAGTTTAATATACATATACGAATGATTCACTTACATTTCTTATGCCAGTTTTTAATGCTTCAAGCATTACAAGATTTTTAAATAGTTTATAACGTGAAATTGCACTAACAATAGATATAACTAAATTTGGTGCTTTTAATTTCCATTCATTAGCCATGAATTGACTTAGAACATCTAAATCAATATTACCATCAACATAAAGAAATGATCGACCCTAGAGAAATTAAATCAAATATCAATAGAATAAATAATTAAAAAAATATTTTTGACAAAAATTCAAAAATTAAACATTCATATTATATATATTTAATCTATAAATAAAACTTACCTCACCAGAGTAATCACCAAGTGAATCTTCGAATTTAAATGTTCCCCAAACACCACCATATTGTTGTTGAATAATATTATAAAACTCATTTGAATCTACTGTTGATAGTGAACGAGGAAGTACTTCAAGTGATGATAACTCTTTCTGAATATTATCATTTGCATTATTCATGGTATCTTGCGTCGTTGACGCAAGCATCTAGAATACAAACTATATTTATTGAGACACTATCAAATGTCATATAAGTATATATATGATAGCTACACCGAATAATCGGCTATTTTAGTGAATATTGTTCGAGTTTGTTGATCGATGATTTATATAAATAACCAATGAAACGAATAACTAATACTTTTTTCTTTTTCATTCTTTTTGATTATGTCAGATGTGCGTCAATGATTTTCGATATCCATATGTATAAATACATATATATATTTTACAATGACAAACCAATCTCATTTTTCTTTATGTCTTTTTGTTTCTGTTTGTTCTTTGTTTCAATGATCAAATATTTTTCTATCTGCATATCTAATGAAAGAATATCGATGTAGAGTAACACCACAAATAATACAGGTGATGCATAACAACAATGACAATGGCGCAAATAGTCAATGACACAAGTCTATATACCACGTTTTTTTCTCTTATTTCAGCGTTTTGCTTATAGTGAATCATTTTATTGAATTATTATTATTTGGTTTTCTGTTTCTTTTTTGTATCGGGAAATTGGAATTTCGGTTCACGGAATTCTCTGGCTGGACCAAAAATCCTAAAGAAATTTTGGCTCACATTTCAATGATCTCATCGATTTTCCTTTCTCCCATAAGTAATTTAGTTTATTTCAATTAGTTACTGGATATCGTAGTGCTGAGCAGGACGTCATAATGCTCAGTGAAGTGGCATAGTGTTCAACAAGATGGCGTCGGTGTGGTGGGAATATGGGCGTGGTGTATAGATGTGAGTGGGAGTTTCAGGTGTAGATTATGGATATTGTTTTTCTTGAGAATGTTTAGTTCATCCACACGCACACCCTCAGATCATCTTGCCGAGCATTATGTTTGTCCTGCTCAGCACTACGATATCTGGTAACTAATTAAAATAAACTAGATTACTTATGATTGGAGAGGGGAAGGGGAAGAATCAATAAGATCATTTAAAGAGTGGTCCAAAATTCATGTAACCCCTAACAGAACAATACGATGAGAACTTGGCTTCAACTGAAGAGGATGATAAAATACATTGAAAAGAAATTAGAATTAATTTCATAAGAAATATTGATGGAATGATGAACATTTTGGCTTTTTATAGCGCCTAGGATAGTCCATTTTATCTAACATTCATTTGAATAAAAATGATTTTAATTGTCATTTCCAAAATAAATTTTGTCAATTTCTCTTTGCGTCACCTTATGTGGTTATTATGAATATCAGATCATTAAGATTTTCCCCTTTTTGATATGTTCTGGCAAAATAGAATGCAACTGTACTACTGTAATTACAGTAAGAACTATGAAATCATCTGAAAGTCTATTTTTTCGCTGTACCAGGAACAAACTACTTTCAAAAAATGTACTAATTTGTCAATCTTTTTCAACAAAAAGAAGTCCAGCAAAAGTCTGGAAAGCAATGATAGCGATATCTATTGAAGTAAATATAGAAAAAAAACGTTTCCATATAGTTTTCTCATATTGAAAAAATGCTAAATTTTGATAGTCTTATTTGATTTGACGCTTTCAAAAGAATATTTATGGAATGCATCTTTAAAAAAAGGTAATGCATCTGGTTTGTGTTTCGTGATTTTATATAAAAACACGTGTATGTAATCGTTTCAATCAGTATGTCACATGCAACATTTTGTTTTGCATTCTTCTGATGTGCGACATCAAAGTGAGGACGAAAAAGTCTGCAAGCAAAGAATTGTTTTTATAAAACAAGTCGAAATTAATTAGAAAATCATATTTTAAAGAATCAAAGAAAAGGTAACAATGATGGCAGCATATTCAATGTGTTACTCAACGAGGATTTCGTTCAATTAATAAGGAAAGAAATGAAGAATGGGCGAAAAAATTTATTAAAGTCATTTGTGATAAATATATGACAGTTTAGTTTTGAGAAGATTACCTTTTTACTTGCATCAACAATGAATGAACGTTCTCATTTAATTCAAGTACGACAAATGGTGACAGCTTACGTCATTTGTTACATGCTTTTAAAACTTCCATTTAGATATATTATGAACATGCCATATTAATGTGTTTTTCTTTTGAATTTAACCCATTGGTTACCGATATAAAAACGAAAAAAAAAATCTTTTAGAAAGTTTTTATAACTTTTTATTCATGATCTCGGTTAACAGAATTTTACGGATAGTGAGTTAAATCTTTTGTAAAATATGAAATTCTTTGAAACAGTTGGCAATACACAACCCAATGTGGGGTGTGGGTGTGGATAGTTTCTTTCATTCAATCCTAATCCACAACCACACTCACACCCTCTTTCACTGGATTTCGAGTTTTTAAAATTGATCAAAAATATTTTATTTTAAGACTTGTTATGAAAGAAAACAGACTCAGCGTTTCTCTCCTTTGAATGATTTATTGAATGAAAACTACGAAAACACAGACATTTGTTCTGAGTTCGTTTATAGATTAGGCGACTTTTTCTTCACGGAATTTTCTTGTGCCCATCGGTTGAAGTTATACCTGTGAAAAAGATACGATTTCAAGGCCAATTGGTAATCATTTTGTATAGAATAGTCTTCGAACACTTGTTTTCAATTGTGTCATCGATTGATCAAATTCTTTCTTGTATGCTTTTGAACGTAAAATGAACACAACGAATATGAGAAGATGAGGAATAAAGGAAACAAAGTAGCTGTATAAGTAGAGCCATGGATCTCTAGCTGATGTCATGCAACCAGAAATGAAGGATATTATAAGACGTGGTAAAGCCAGAAAGATAAAAATACTGGGGCTTATTAGAAGATGTTTATGATGCTAAATTTTTTGTTTCAAGTGTTGTATGTACGTCTGTTGTTTTCGAACTGTCGATCGTTTTCGTGCTGTTACGATGATAATGATGATAGTTGAAATGAGATTAATGGAAAATGGAGTAATGAAATGAAAGATATTGATCATCGAATTGAAGATTTCAAAAGTATTAGCATATCAAACTAGACACAAAGTTCGATTATCTTCTTCATCATTGACTAAACTTCGATGAACAGGATCATGAATAACACTACTCATATTAACTAGGATGACCGCGATAACAACCCATTTTTCCACTTATTTACTCTTCTTTTTATCGAAGCTGACTCCTTTCATCAACGTTATCACGCGTTCGGAAGCTAAACAAGCATTTAACCAGCCATAAATAGCCAGCAACGAACGGAGAAGAAAATCAATTGAAATACAATTGACGAATAATAAAGTTCTATTCGTGACCAAAGCCATCTGAAAAAGAACGAGGAACCAGAATTTAGTAGTCAAAAAAGTTATAGTAAGGCATGAAAAGATTGATGTGGTCAAAAGGTAGATTTCACAGCCAATTTCACGAAGATTCTCACGCTGAAATGTCATTGTTGAGAGAATACTACTTGTAAGACCAACACCAAGCATTAAAATAGTTATGACGATGCTTACTTTGACAGGAGATGACTGACGAGAAATTGAAAGACGAGGGCAAAGCTGATAACCAAGAATAGAATCTAAGGAGAGCCCAAAGCCTTTTGTGGTAAACTGACACTTGCTACCGTAAAAACATTCAAGACATATACAGGCAGTTACTTTCGGACATGTAGGATGATCTTCGAAGAATTGAGCATCATTTTCGCAGTCATTCAAACCCCGACAATCATATGTCATATTAAAATCGAAATGAAAACAGTTTGCATGTCGATAACGATTGCATATACACATGAAAGCCTCGCCGTCTTGAAAGCACGCCAGACTTGGTTGCTCTCCACAAGGAATATGATAATATTTGGCACGTCGTAGAATGTCAAAAGTAAACACTCGTCTATCATTGAACAATTCTCAAATGTGTGGACAACGAAGTGACGGGGTTATTTGAATCGATATGGTCATCGAATGCATATATTTCTTCTGAACAACCAATAGATAGTAGTTATCGGCGTTCAACTGAATAAATATTAGATTAAAGCTCGTAGTGGGAAATAAGGAAACATCATCTTGATCAGGTTTAATCTTATGAAATGTTGTGGTTCGAGATAGCTCAGCATCTGTTTTCACTGTAATGTAGTGAGTAAGGAGTGATTGAGGAATATGAACATCTTCACTGAACGATATATCGATACGGGTATCATTGATTTCACACATCGGTCCCGAAAATCCATGTCGACAGAGGCAGATAAACTTACCCGTCCAACTACGCTCCTGATCTGACACGCAGAGTCCACTATTTTGACATTTTTTCTCTATCACACATACGGATTCGAGAAGACAACGAAGCCCTACTTGTCGAAGTGAGCACACGCAAATTGATCGATTATTTGCCCAGCCATGACAGTAGGAATTCCAAGCATAACTACAATTGAAAGAAATTGTACACAAAGATCCAGACCATCCTTGGTTACAGCGACAGAACGGTTCTTTCGAATTCATATATTTTGAACATTGTCCGTGTATGCAATTTAGATGGCAGTCCTTAACTCTCTCAGCTGGACAGCCAATAATCAAATGAGCGGCAATACGATTTACCGGAAGAAAACGGAATACGGCTGGCAATTCCCAACTGGCATGATAGGCTAAATTAACTTTGTTATAGGAGTCAACACGCACAGTATAACTTTTGTTAAGATCTTTTGGTCCAGTCTGATAAAGAAAGTACATGTTAAACAGTGCATCGCAGTGTAGTTCAGGTATATATGTGAATTTTTCATGAGAGTGAATAGCACCTGTGCCATCGATTAGTGTGGTAACAAAACTGTATACTTCATATTTCACTACATGATGTCGACGAAACTGTAGTGTTAGACTTACACATTGGCTCTGATATTCGCATTCATTGCCATAGTAGCTGGGAGGATAGAGGCAATGCTCCCTTTTCTCGTTTCCGATGTGAATTAAAATTCCGCGATTACACATCCATGTTTGATCAGAATGAACTTTCTGCTTAATCGTATTAGTAATGATTTCTCTACTTCTTTGAACGGTGTGCTTGATAAGATCGTTCGTT